AAAAAAAAAAAAAAAAAAAAAACCTAAAACGCGGTTTGTGACTTTTAAAAGAATAATAAAAAAAAAATGTCACACATCCTTTTTTTTATATTAAATTATATATATATTTGTGATAAAATAATGAAATGATTAAAATTGATTGGTAAATTGTCAAAATTTCCGTAAAAGACAATAATAAAGACAAAAAGAAAAAAAATTGTAACCAAAATAAATAAAAAAAAAAAAGAAAGAAAAAAAGAAAAAAGAAAAAAAAAGAAGAAAGAAAAATAGGAATTAGATAAAAATATCTAAATTTAAACATAATAACATAATACAATAACATCAATAACATTCAATTACGTTCGATGAATAATCATCAAAGCATACATACATGTATGTATATATATATTCGTTACCATATACCGAATATTAATGTCATACAATAAACTTTATATTGTCGAATAAATTATGTTCAACGTATTCAACATATTCAACGTATTCAACGTATTCAACTTGTTCACCTTATTCAAGTTATTCAATGTGTTCAACGTATTTTGACGTATTTAAAAGGTATTTCAATAACCTTCCCTCTTCCCTCTCCCAACCCCCTTTCGAAAATCAGTCATATAAACGGGAATGGTCATTTTAGTAATATTCATTATAAATCCCCAAAAAAAGTTTTATGCATAACACGTGATGAAGTACAAATTGATTTTTAGGATGGATGAAATAAGCGTAAATGGTATCCAAAGTTTCCAACACCATGGACTAACCACTCAAAAATTCCCACCCTTAGAAGAATAATGAGGTGATTACTTAATGCATAATTTGCATGCTGCAATGTCAATTAGTCATTTTAATAACTTGTATAACTTGTAAATATTATTTATATTATTATGCTTAATCACATATCACACTGGTATCACAATGTCTATTAAGTATTGACTGTATATGACTGTATGAACGAGTTTCGCAATTATAATTGAAAGAAAAAAGGAAATTTGGCTATTGTGAAAGTGAATTTATTAATTGCATCTTTTTTACAATACATGATAAATATCAATTGTTTCAATTAACCTAAATTTATTAGATGGAATGGATAATAAATCTTAAATAACAATAATAAATAACGTTTATAAATGTTAATTACAATAATAAATAACGCTAATAAATTTTAGAAATAATAATAAATAGCATTTATAGCATTTAATAACTTGTTATAAATATTTTGCATTAAAAAACGATTTGCTTTTACATTTGTAGTAATATGAAATGAAATTAGACTTGAAACAAAGAATCATAAAAGTCATAACTGCTCATACCGATTTATTTATTATTTCCCCACTATAAATGTTCTTTGATGATTAATCCGAATTTCAAATTTTTTTTTTTTTAATTTAAACAAAACCTTGTTTACGAATAATGCATGGATTTTCATTTCCATTGAATATCCATAAATTTCGTGTTACAATACGTGTCACAATAAACATTACAAATCCAACTTTTATTCTATTTTAATGAAATTCTTTGAATAATTTTAAAAAAAAAAAATTGTAAAGGATTCAAACCATTTAAGTAAATTAGATAATTTAAAATAATTTTAAGTATGGTCAATGTGTTGTTTATATAATTCGTTGATTGGTTATCGTAAAAAATTTTTTTTTTGTTTTATTTTATTTTTTTTAAGTTCGAAATACAAGAAATACAACAAATAAAACAGTCTTTAAGGTTTCAGATTTTGAGTTGTACAAAAAACATAACTGACATATTTTCACACGATATAATTGGTTAACTTTGCTTATTAATTTCAATGAGAATTTTCCACAATCAAAAATAATATGAAAAATATTTTAAAACATTTTGATGGGTTATCTTTAATTTATCCTTTATAAGAAGTTTTTATGGACTGAAACAATGTAAATAATAATTATATTCATAGTAAATATATAATATATAATTATTTTAAAGATTTTTTTAGATGTTCTGGATTTTTTTTTTTTTGAAAATAAAAGTACATACATTATTTATTATTTATTTACTTATTTATTTATTTTTTTTTTTTTATGAACTGAAAATTGAATTATAATGAACGTTATTTTTGGTCAACAATTAAAAAAGTGATTTATTTAATAAAAATTAATAAAATTAATTTTTTTTTTTAAATTACAAAAAAAAATTGAAGTTGGACAAAATGAATAAATTAACCGAATTCTTGTTTTATTTAAAAAAAAAAAATTTACTGAAACCAGAATTACTTTAGTAATCAGGTGATTTTCGTAAAAAAAAAAATGTATAATGTTGTCAATGATCACAAGTAGAATATGTATTCGAACTTTTGTAACAAATTCTAAAGTAAAAAAAGTTGTGATCATTGGAGGATCTGGTTTTATTGGTAAAAAGTTCTCTCATTATCATTACCTTTTCTTAGTTATTACCGGGGTTAAAATTCTTGGCGTATTACCATATAAACTAATTAAAATTAATTTATTGAAATAATTATTTAGGCAAGTATACCGCAAAAGCTTTTATACAGGACGCTGATACATCCATCGAATTAGGTGCTAGAAATTCAAAGATTGTAAATGAACTTAAATCATTAGGTAATATTGTTTACCTAGGATTATGTAAGGTAGCTTCATTAATAACATGATTTGATAATTTTTTTTCGTTACATTATTTATAGGAAATCAAATTTTACCCCCTGTTTCAAGCGATATCATATCCAAATCGGATATTTTAAAGGCATGTCAAGGGGCGAGCATAATTGTAAACCTAGTTGGTATAATGCATGAACGTCCTCCTATATATACCTTTGATAATGTTCAACATCTAGGTGCACGTAATGTTGCTATTGCTGCAAAAGAAAATAATGCTCAATTAATTCATATAAGTGCTATTGGAGCTGACCCTAATAGCAACATACCTTATGCTAAGACCAAAGGTAGGTGAACCATAATTAATACATTATTTGTTTATATGAAATAATAATTTAAAAAAAAATTGATGTATTTTATTTTTGATTGATTCAGCTTTGGGTGAGATTGTCGTACGTGAAATTTGTCCAAATGCGATTATTATACGTCCAAGTATAGTATTCGGTCCGGAAGATGATTTCTTCAATGTGAGTTATCCGAGTTATCCAAGTTACTCAGGTTATCCAAGTTATCCAAGTTATCCAAGTTATTCAAGTTAACTTAGTTATCCAGTTATCCAGTTATTTAATCCAGTTATTCAAGTTATCCAGTTAGTCATCCAGTTATCCAGTTTATCGCACTAAAAAAAAAAAAAGTTTTAACCCCTGAATCATATTTACTGAAACCCTTTCTTTTTTTTAAATTTAGAGATTCGTGAAATTAACGAAATATTTACCATTTATGCCAGTTTTTAGTGGAGGAAAAACAAAATTTCAACCAGTTTATGTTTGGGATGTTGCCAATGCAATAGTTAAATCAAGTTCTGATCCAAAATTTTATGGTAAAACATTCGAACTTGGAGGTCCAAATGGTATATACTGTTTAAATTAATTAATTAATTAATTATCGATCGTTTCTTCCCGATAATTTATTATTTTATTTTAATTTTATTTTTTAGTGTATACTTATAAAGAAATTATACAATTAACGCTTAATCAAGCTGGTATAAGACGTCCAATCATTTCTTTACCTTGGTCAATTGGTATGATTCAAGGATTCTTTCTTGAAAAATTACCACCAAATTTATTCACCATCACACGTGATCAAATAAAATTACTTCGTAAGGATAATATTGTTTCAAATGATCCAAACATTTTGACATTAAAAGATTTAAAAATTGATCCTACCCCAGCTCATAAGGTATAATAAAGATATATTTTTATTTTATTTTATTTTATTTTATTTAATTATTTTTATTTTGTTAGGTTTTGTTCATGTATTTAAAAGAAAATGGGGTAATTCCTAATAAGAGAATTCATCGATCATTTGATAAATATGATGAAAAGATTCAAGAGGTTGAAAAGATTAGAAGTGAAATACCAAAGGAAGCTTTAGAAAAAGAAGCAGAATATAAAAAATTACATGATGAATTAGATAAAAAACGAAAAATTTCATAAAATTTCATAAAAATATTTTTTAATAAAATACTTTTTAATAAAATAACTATTGTATATTAATATTATTACTCAGAGAAAATATATATATCTTGTATTAGTGTAATTTATATAATCTATAAATCTATATGTAAATATTTTATCTTAGATATCTATATCACTATCACCCGAATTATAAATAATGATCGTGCCCTTTATTTTACGGGTTTTACGGGAAGATAATTTCGTGCGATAATCTGACAGGTATTTCGTAATATTAGCATGGGGGAAAAAAAAAGTAAAAAAAAAAAAAGGTACATTTAAAAAACATTTAAACCATTTAACCATTTAACCCATTTAAACCAATTAAACCATTTAAATCATTTAAAACTAAACTTTAATATTAATTTTTTCTTAAAAAAGTGTTTTGTTTAACATTAAAAAAAAAAAGGGGGAGAAATTTTTTTTAAAATCAAAAAGAAATTTTGTTAATCATGTACCTTTAATTACCTTTAAGAGTATCATGTGAATTTATCCGATACCTAAATCAGAATTAAAAAGAAATCCAAATTTTATTTTAAAAAATCTTTCACATGTTATGATTTTCAAATAAAATGTAATTTATGGTATAGTAAAAAAAAAAAAGTATTGTTTTTTTTATTATAGTATAATATTTATGTTATATATATATATATATATATTTTATTGATAATCTGTAAATAAATAAGATTTCGGTAATACAATACGTACACGTTACTCGTGGTAGTTTCATAATTTATTTTTTTTTAAAAAAAAAAAAAAATTCAAAAATGAATTTTTAAAAAAATTTCCAATCATTTTATCCAAAGCTAATTTATTCAAATACCCGAAAAGCATTACAATGCATTATACATAAAGTTGAATAAATAATCCTTGCTTATTCAGTTTAAAAGTATATTACGTGTAGATTATTGCTAATAGGGTGTAAATTTTTACCAGCAAATACTTTTGACGGGATTATCGGAGATATAAAGGTCCCGACACACTAGACAACTTTGTATAGGATGAAAAATTAAATTAAGTCAAAAACCAACCGCAATTGAACTTTTTTTAGAAAGATTTTCTCGTTCGTATCTGTCCGAATCAATAAATCTTATCTAAATAATTTTTTGATCTAATTTAAATTCTACGAAATAAACTCCCAGACCTAACATTTTTGGTCAGTAACTGAATGAGTCAATTATTACAAAATTTCTCGATTAGTATGATTAGCGATGATTAACAACGGGGGAGGGGAATGTAATGATATCACTTGCTAATACTTTTCAACATCACTATAACTTTATAGCAGCTGATATGATTTACTCTTGTTCTATTTAAAGAGTAATGATTGGATGATTTCGGGATGATAGTAGAGCCGTTCGGGTTCAAGTGACTTCTGACAAAAGATTTTTTTTTCCCCTTCCTTCCTCGTCTCGTGTGAAGGAGATAAGATATTTGACATATTTTAATAACAATAGCAAACCACATATTGGGTAATTTTTCTCTTTAGAAGTGTATAAGAATAACAATAGCAAATTACATATTGGGTATTTTGATAACTTTTTTTTTTTTCTCTTTAGAAGTGTTTAAAGAAGATTTGTCAATCATCTTTAATACATTTAATTTACCTGAGCTATCAAGTAGTCACACGTAATTAAAATGTAACTCGAAACTATATTAATTTCTTTTAAACCTTTTAAACTTATTACCTACCTTCACTCTCTCCCTCCCCTTAATTCTTCATCTATTCTTCCTATTTATAACCCTTTTTTTAAATATAACAAAATTGACGAAATTATTTTAACATTATATTTTTCTTTTAATGAAAATCAATAATATAATGATTTTATTTTAAAATATTTAAAATAAACTTATTAACAAAGTTTTAAAAAAGTTAATAAAATTATCTATTTTAAAAGATTTCTTTAATGAACATCAATTAATTTAAAATAACTTTAATAAAAAAATTAAAAAAAGTCAGAAAAAATAAAAAATCAAATTATTATTATTAATAATGTATGAGATTTTTTTAAAGAAAATCAAATAATCTAAAAAAATTTAACAGTTAAAATAAAATAAAATAAATATTACTTTAATAATCATATTACGCAAAAAATTTGTGATCTCTCACGTGAAATGCTGCATTCGCAATATTTTCTCAGAGGTGTGATTTGTTCTTTTAATTAAAAATAAACTTGTACTTTATTAAAAAAAAAAATCTTTTAATGAAGATTAATAAGGCGATGTAAAATTATAAATTCCAAAATTCGGTTTCCATATCCCGGCCGGATCGGTGAATCACATTCAAATTTTTTTTATATTAAGATAATTGACCAATAAAAATAGTTATAAATATCATGTGATAACCACATGTATTATATTATCAGATATCAGATATCATAAATTGAGACGAACACATATAACACATATTGCTTTAAAGAAAATTTCTCATTCTGATAAAAAAGATTGGCAATTTTCTTGATGCCAAGAATGTAATCATTATGATATCGGTTAGCCTAAAACCTTTTTAACATATGAAATTATTGATCAGATTAACAAATTTTATTGATTAAAAATTTTTGAATTTAAAAGAAAAATCCGGGCGGCCGGGTCAATTATTATATGAAAAACCGAATTTACGTCGCTAATTTAATTAAAATATTTAAAAATATCGAATAATCAAAAGTAAAAAAAATAAAAACCACTTGAAAATCTTCAATGATTTTATTACGCAAGTATGATCTTCAAAATTTAAAAATTAAAAACGTGAAAAACTGCATCTGCAAGTATTACGTAGATTTTAAAATAAACTAAAAAGAAATTGTTAATTTAATTAAATATGTATTAAATATCAAATAATCAAAGTAAAAAAAAAAATAAAAACCATTTGAAAATCTCCAATGATTTATTACGCAAGTATTTATTACGCAAGTTTGATCATCAAAATTTAAAGCATTGAAATAAAAAAACGTGAAAAGCTGCATCTGCAGTATTACGCAGATTTTTTTTATTTATTAAAGGAATTTGATAGAATATAAATATGAATCCTTAAAAAGTTCTTCATTTTACATTTTATTAAGACTGATTAGTAATTTAATCAAATTTTAAATATTAATTAATAAACAATCCATACCAAAATTAAAATGTAATTAAATAATACTTTTTTAGAAGTATTCACAAGAAAAAAAGAAAAAATATTTGCAATATTAGTTGATTATTTCGTATTATCATGCGATGTCTCGCTTAAAAAGAAAAAATTATTGGATAGGATTTAACTCGTATGATATTTCACTTCATGTATGATATTTTTTGTTCTGATTCTTTTCATCAGACAATCTTTTTACCGACAATTATTTTTACCGAAAAACTTGAAATCCTAATCCACCTATCCCGACCTTATCTTCACCCTAATCCTAAACCCTAATTTTCCTTACCTAACCTTAACTAATTCCCTTGTCGGTGAAATGATTAAACATTTGTCCGCGAAATGACTCTATCGGTGAAACGGTTGTCGGTAAAATGAATGAGATCCGATATTTTACGTTAACGAAAAAGCATAATTATCATATTTTATATTAAATATACGTAGTAATATACTAAAGGCCAAATAATAAATAGTCATTGGATAGGGAATAGAGATATCGGTCGAAGACCGATATCCCCATCCAATAACTGAATAGCATTGGATGGGGAATGGATATAGTAGAATACTGCGGTAACCAATAGGAATTAATGCTACTAATACTCAAATATTGGATGTACAGTACATCAAAATCCCACATATTTCAAAATCTTGAGATGTCAGTATTTTAAACATTTAATTAATAAACATTTGACTATAATAGAAAAACTTATGTTTAAAATTTATACCAACAAACAAAAGTTTTGAAATTTAAAAAGGGTAAAATTTTCTCTTGCTGATCACCTGATTAACAAATTCATTTAAAATTATGATATAATTTCGTATCCCTTAAAATTTCTTTAAAATATACTAAAAAATATACTTAAATTTTAAAATATACTTAAAATACAACAAAAAATTTTAAAATTTGCAATTTTAAGTATATTTTGAGTGTATTTAAAATTATTTTTAAAATTGCAATTTTAAATATAATTTAAGTATATTTTAAAAAATTGCAATTTTAAAGTAATTTAAGTATAATTAAAGTATATTTTAAAAATTTTAATTATATTTTTAAGTCTATTTTAAAGTATATTAAATACATTTAAGTATATTTTTTTCATAGGGCGTTCACTCAAACTTTGGCTTAATAATTGCTTATCTGTTATGCCTCTCATCTGTATTAAGGGAACACCGTTTTGGCCAGCATTAAGATTGGAATTACTTAATATAGAAATTCGCAGTACCGATCATTTATAATTCTGCCCAAAATTGCGGAATTTTTCGGGTGTTACTGGAAGTCGAACTGTCGCATCATTCCGATGTAAAGGGTCTTTCAGCATTCTAGTCACCGGAAGGAGGGGTACTGGTAAGGCTTGGAAATAAGAGCGAGCACGCAGAAAATTTTTCACAAAGTTCTCGTGTTTCTTTCGCGAATTTTTTGATTTCAAAAAGTAATTACGACCTCAATAGACAAGATGGAATCTACTCAAATATAAGATAAGTACAATTAACATGTTATTTAACGTACTATTCGTCCGATAGTATTGGAAAGTCTGGTCAAATAGGCGACAATACTTTTCATAGGGTAATGATTCAATATTTATGAAAAAAAAGAGATAGTGGATTGTTTCTTCTTATATCTTTGTGATGAAACAGCAATAGTTACAGATTAATGTATCATTACTAATGTTATTACAAACAAATTTCTTTTTTAAGCGTTGTTTATTTGTTTTCTTCAAAGAAGACATTGAAGAGGATATTACTTAATAAGTATTTTTTTTTTTTCTAAAAAAGTATTTTTATATAAAATTTTCATATAATCTAAAGAAATCATGAGATTGATATTCATCCAAAGAAACAATTCATGCCCAATCTAAAGTTAAAAGTTCATTTCATAATCACGAGTTTCCGTTAGTATCATAAATAAAAATGGCATTCCTTGTAAATCTAACAGGAGTTTACTTGGAAACTATTGATAAAAGATACATATATTTTTTTTAAATATACAGTATTTCATCTAAGAGACAAAATAAAATCATATTATAATAGTTCATTTAATGAAAATTTTCCTTCAAATATTATAAAGTATTAATAAACTTTTTTATTATAATTTTTGATTTATTATACAAATACGGAATCTAATTCTAAAGGTATTAACACTCTATAAAAAAATTTTTGATTTTCTTCTTTTCAAAAAAAAAAAAATAAATAAATAAATAAATAAAAACAATTTTTAAATAAATTGATTACTCATCAATCCCGGAATTGATCTTTTCTCTCCAATATTTTCCTTTGTAACTAACAACAAATAAACAAAACACACCAATAAATGAAATGCAAATCATGATGGTATAAATCGAACCGATACCAACAGCTTTTTCAAAAGGCACAGATACAAAAGTAAATAATGCGGCTGCGAGCGATCTCGTAAGGTTATTAATTGCAATTGCTGATGCACTTCTACCCGGAAAAGCATCGACCAAATATGTTGAAACTGAATTATACACTGTTACAAGACTAAATCCTCCTATCAAATAAGAGTTATAATTTTTTAATCAAATTAATTAAAAAAAAAAAAGTTGGAAACATTGATTTTGTACGTACCAGTGAACATAGCGATAATTGGTAAAGCTATATGTAATCTAGCTTCAAGAAACCACCCATAACATATATAAGAAACCGAAATAAAAAAACAACCAATCCAAACACTATGAAGTCTCATTTCAGGATATCCAACACCATTGTTTCTTTTTTTAGCTTCAATAAGAACATAATCTGACCATTTTCCTCCTATGACACTTCCAATCATATATCCAGTACCCGGAGCCAGAAAAATTAATCCAACTGTTGATGCTGAAACATGATATATATTTGCGAAACTTGGCCCAACTAATGTATTTTGTAAATAAATTACTGCAAACGTAATACTTATGTATACTATTACAAGTGACATATTGGGATATTTTAATAAACGTAATGGTGATGTAGGATCAAATCTTTTACGACGTTGTGAATTTGAAGTTGTATTATTAGGGTTCGGTAGATTTGTTGGAGGTAAATATGTTTCAGGAAATGTAAAGAAAATTAATATTAATATTAAACCTCCAATAACCGCAAGAATCCATAAAATCCATCTCCATCCTAAATAATCTGTTACATATCCCCCGATCACTGGTCCTATAACTGGTCCAACCAAAGGTCCAAGATAAAATATTCCATACGCTCGTCCTCGTTCTAAAATATAATTAATTTATATTATTTGTATTTTATACATTAATTCTTACAATATAATATTAACCTACCAAGTGAATGAAAAACATCACTTATTGTTCCGGCACCAATACTGCAATCATAAAAATATAGGTAAGGATAAATTTATTAATATAAATGTCGTAATGAAAGAAACATACCTCAGAACTGCAGAAGCACCACAAGCTTGAACTAATCGCATCGCTAACAATAACCAAATGCTATTTGATAAACCACATATTACAGTTCCTATAATATATATTGTAAAGGAAGCCAAGTAAACATTGCGTCTCGTATAAAACGCATCAGAATAAGCCGCCCATCCTAGTGGCTGTGCCACAATAATACAAATTTAAAAAGTTAAAAAGACTTTATAATTTATCTAATAATACATTTATACTTACTGCCACGCCCATGAAGAGAATATAAACGCCAACTGTATGTAATTAACAAAAATAAATTAACAAAAATACTTTTAAATATGATGATTTTGAATCATTCATTGATGTCTTACTTATTCCATTAGCTAGCACTCCGCTAGTTTTAAAATCGTTTTCAATAATTATAATTGACGGATAAAATATTCTAAATATAAAAAAAAAGTTGAATATATTTATTTATTTTAAATCCCGTTCATAAAATAAATATTTCACGTACGTGCTTGAAAGTGGTGCAACCATTCCAGCTAAAGAAGTAATAAATAAAATAAAATTTTTCTTTTTTCTCGGCCAACATTTTGGGTCATTCGGATCTTCTATCGTTTCTTTTGATATTTCAGAGTTAACCGATAATTGGTCGGCAAGTTTTTTATCATCTTTACGTGAGGTTAATTCATTATCATTCGTATTTGATTCGTCGTTGTTGGTAGATATAGACGATCTAATATTTGTATTATCCATTTTTCAAAATTTTTTAAATTGAAGAAAAAATCACACCCTCCTTATAAATACTTTTTCTTACCAAATATTTCAATTTTCATTAGTAAGATAAGCTAGTAAATTCTTTTAAAATAATACAACTTAATTGATTTAAACGATCCGCCGATCAAATACAACTCATTTTCGTAGCACGATATTTAAGTCACCTACGATCATAATTATTTTTTTTGTCGATTTGAACATAAACGGTTAAAAGAAAAGAAAAGTTCCGACTTTGTTAAATTAAGCCAGTACTACTGAAGCTAGTTTTAAACTTTTTGAAATAAGGAGAAATTTTCGGAAAAATACTTTTTGCCTTAAGGTTCATAATAATGCATCCGAGAATATAATGAAGAATAGCTTTTTCTACAAGGTTTAACCATTGTTTTCATTATTGATTTAATTGGTTATTAAAAATAAATTTTAAATATTCATAAATTATACTTCATCATGGAATTCCTATCCAGCGTTGGCATTAAAAAAATATAAAAAATAACGAGTGCAAAATTGAAAGCTTCTACATTGGGAATTGTGCAACATTAAATTACCGAATTTGGATATTATCGTAATTAAAGTTTGCTTTTCTATATCATAGACCGGCCGGCCTGATTTCAAAATCAGTTTCAAAATTGCTTTGAAAAGGTTTGCTTATATATAATAAATTATTGAGAATTGCTAGGGATGGTAAAGTCCTAGGTCCTGGACCTAAAGACCTGGTTCTAGGACCTGGTCTGCAGATCTTTAAGTCCGAATTTTGGACCAGAAGCGGACCAGGTCCTAAAAAGTCTTAGCAAATAAAGTATCAATATATATTAGATAGAAATTAAACATTAAATATACAGATCTATATAAAATTATGGGTATTTTGCTACCCTTAAAATAAATAAAATAAATTTAATTTGCTAAAATTTTATTTATTATGTTTAAATTATATATTGTATAGTTTTTAATTAATAATAAATTATAAAAAAAATGCACTGCGATATTGCAATGCAATTTTTATATTATTAAAATCATATAAAAAAGTGAGTTGCGATATTGCGATTTACATTTTTATATTAAAATCATATAAAAATGTGAATCGCAATACCGCAACTCACTTTTTTTATATAAATAAAAAGGTGGATCCCAATACTGCAACTCACTTTTTTTATATTTGGTTATCACTAGATCCATAAAATCTATAAATAACTTAGTTCAGGACCATGGACTCATAGTCATAGGTCCCAGGACCAGGACTGACCTAACCATCCCTAAGAATCACTTCTTTAAAATCAATTTTACATGTAGTTTCAATTTTTTCAGATCAATTCCAATCCTTAGATTATATAAACAAAAAGCTGTAATTCGAATGCTTATTTTCAGCATTTTAAATAACAATTTTTTTATGTTTTTTTTTTCATTAAAACTGATTAATTTTAAAAAGTGGATTGATTGTTTTTACTAGATTTAATGGTTATTGAATGCTTTTTTTTAAATGATTATCTTAAAAAATTCATTTCAGCTGAATTATTTGACAGCAATTGAATTATGCTAAGTCATCTGTTTTAATAAAATGAAAATGTACTTTTTTAAATTTTATTTACTTTTTATTAAAAAAAATAGATCTAATGGCCATTCAAAAATCTGGGTAAAAATAATTCATTACTTATAAAAAAATTTAATAAAAAAGAACCAAGTAGTATTTATAAAGCATTTTATCAATTTTATCAGAACATTAATAAAAAAATATATTATTTAGCTGACTAATTTCAAAATTATTGCTTATATAATTTAATTCATATATAAAATTATAATAAAATAATATTCTAACTATTTTTAATTAATAATTTTGAAAAATTACTTCCAAAATTTAGATTTTAAAATGGCCTAAGTCACCTAATATAAAATATAAAGAAATCCATATACAATATTTACAAGCTATCCATCCTGTTGATAATAACCAATTAAACATGATTTGTTGGTAGAATATTTGTTTACATATGTAGATAAGCCATATAGTTTTAAACAAATAGTTAGATAATTATTATCATCAAATATTTATTAATTAATATTTATACTTAATCTATTAAATAAAATGATTTCAATAAGTTGTATTTTATCTTTCTATAACTAATAAAATTAATTTATTAAAATTACATGTAATTTTTGATAAATTTAAAAATAATAAAATACATATAATTTTTATATATATTTAATATTTATAACTATAAATATATTAAAAAAAAAAAATAAAGTAAAATTAAATTTGAAATAAAATATTTAATTATACAGTTATTTTATATATAAATTAAACCTCTACTAAAAATTACTAAAATTATAAAGTAAATTTTATAAGTAAAAAATTTTAATCCTACTATAAATATATATAAAAATAATATTCCTAATAGAAAGTATTATACTATTTAATATCTATTTAAAATATATTTGATTTTTCTTTAAAATATACTTAACTGTTAATTTTTTTATTTTATACTTAAAATAGGGTAAATTTATATCCAGTTCCCATGTATAATATTTAGATTTCGCTTTATCTCAAAAAGGAAATTTTTTAGGCTGATCAGTTAATTCTAGCTAGAATTAAATACATTTAATAAAAAAAATTTGAAAAAACAGTTTTGTCAAATAAGTTAAAAATAACATAAATAACATTCAAAACAATTTTTGATACTTTAAGTAAACTTGCAAAGCAGGCAAAAATACACATACTATATAACTTTTAAAAAGGTTTGTATATTAAAAATTTTTTTTATGATTTTTTGTTGGATTTAAGTATCATACAAAAGGGTGAGATAAACATTTATCCTATTTTAAATATATTTTAAATATATTTTAATAAAATACTTTTTATAGGAATTATATTATATTATTATGATTTTTTTCCTTTTAAATTAGTTAATCATATACATGCTGCCCAAATTATTTTGGGATGCCATAATAATAATTTGGGATGCCATAATTCATTCAATTTATATATAATTTAATATGTAAAGTGCCAAAATAATTTGGGATGCCATAATTGAATTTGGGATTTTACTTATAATTACGGCAGTCCAAAATAATTTGGGTGGCATGTATAGTTAATCAATAGAATTGCTAGTAAAATTACCAGAATTTCTATTAAAAATAAGTAAAATTTTTATATATTTTTATTTATTTTGCAAATTTATTTAAATATTAATAATTTATTTAATCTATCTAAAGAATTAATATTTATAGAAAAAAAAATACTATTAAATACAAATATTGGCAATAAATTTTATTTATATATTTAAGCAATTTTTTAAATTTTTCTATAATCTTATTGGAAAAAAAAATATTTATACAATTTATTAAAATTAAATGATCAAATAGATCAAATAAAATATTATTTTAAAAGTTATTATAAAAAAATATATGGATCATGTTTAATTGGTTAATATTAATAAATAATTGATAAATATTTTTTATATATAATAATAATAGATTATTTATTTATCATATTAGATTATTTGCAAAATTAAATAAAAATAATAAATTTACCTTAAAATTAAATGGTAAGTTTAAGTAAAAATACTAAAAATAATAATTAATATAATTTATAGATTATAGTGTACAGATATAGCAAATTAGCCTATTTTTTAAAAAATTAAAAAATAAATTATATGATTTTTTTAGTATTTATTTAAAAAAAAGTTTATTAAAATTAAACCAAGATATTTATAAAAAATGATTTTTTAAATTTTAGAAAAAAAAATAATTTTAGTTAAGATAGATTATATATAAATTTTATCTTATTAATTAAATTATATTTTTAATAATAAAAAATTTATCTTATAAAAAAAAATAGATTTTCTATATAAATTTTATTTTAAATTAGATGATATTTTATATTATAAGTAGTTAATATTTTATTAAACATATTTATTAGTTAAAATAGTTATACTACAATTTTTCAATAACAACAGGATATTTACCTAATAGGTTTAGTTAGAGTTATACATAAACATGTAATAAAGTGACTATTGGAAATTCCATTAAAAATAATCTTATAAAATTCCAAAATAATTTTTTAAAATTTAAAATATTTTAATTTGTATTTCAAAAGTTAACTATAAAAATTAAAATTAAAGTTTGTAATAATTAAGTTGAATTATAATTTTCTTTATATTTTTTATAATATTCATATTTATTTTTTGTTATTTTAGAATCAAACTTATTAAAACCATATTTTTAACCAGTTTTAATATATCATTTTTATATATAAGATTTTTAAAATTACAAATAATCAAATCTGTATCATTTGAAAATATAGTAGAATTTACAAGTTAATATAAAATATATTTATGATATAAATTATAAAAATAGTATGAACATAAAATGCATATATTTTGCATGACTGTAAAAAAAAATAATAATTATAATATATTATAAATACCGTAAATATATAATAAAATAACTGCTAAAATGAATTTTTTCGGAGTTACTTTTTTGTATAAATAAACACTAAGTTTATCCTTTTTTTCAATTTTTTACTTTAAAGATATGGCCAAAAAGGTCATTATTTTTCTGAAGATTTATATATGAATTCTTGCAAATTTTATGTAAAATTGGCAGAATATTTTTTTAAAAAAAGTATTCTTTAGACCTTAACAATTAAATAAATATAAAATTATAATTGTAGCATTTGTGGTAAAAAGGTACTGTATGTAAAAGAGGGTGGAATATTTTTTAGGAAAAGAGGTGTACCAGAATCGATCAGAGATGAACACTAATCGATTCTTCTATCATGACTATAAGAATGAGCGTTGTGATTCATTTAATTTTCACATATACATGTATATCTTTTTTTTAATATTTAATATTAATTCACCATGTTATTATATCTGTTTTCATTGAATGTTAAATATTTTTCTTATTTTCATGTGCTACGCTATAGAAGCCAATTTATTTTTGGAAAAAAAATACGTGATAAGGTAAGCAATGCATAGGCATTTAGCCAATTTACAAATGAAAATAAATTGATTTATTTTTCCGGCCAATTATTATTGCAGTATAATAATATATTTAAAATACATGGTAGTCTATTTTTTAATGCCTTTCGATTCAAATTCATCCGTCACCCACTTGATTTGCTCAACCAATTCCTTGAGTATTTTACATGAATTTGTCAAAATTATTCGCTCATTATTATATTAGTGACTCCCCCAGTTAAAATCCTCCTTTTAGTCTCGGTAACAATAATAATCAAATCACCAGCCTTGATAACCAAATCCACTGGCCCTTTACAGATAAATTTGTATCCTGAACATACATACGGACATACCTTTACTGCTTTACACCACCATTATAAAAAGAAGCAAACACCATAAAGATGAAATAAATTCAGCTGTTAGTCTCTTAACAATATCTTGATCTGAGGAAATAACCATGAGAATGGCTGTTTTACTGCAAATCACCATAATTAACTTCCGTTGGACATGTTATGCGACATTCTAAAAAAAAAATGAAACGATGTTCACATGTGTCTACGACGATTGAGAAGTCTATCTTTAATCCTTGAGTTCAGATTACAATCGCCAATCCTTCTCATCATATAAACTAACAATGTTCTTTTCACAACTTATACCGAGACTTCGAAACTTTTAACTTGCAACCATTTGCAGTGCAACAGACCTCTTTCGTTTCGACGGATGCTGTACGATATATGTCAGGTAGAGTAAGAGTGTTTTCTAATCAAAAGTGGAGACAGTTTGACACCCTCAAGCTCCTCCTTAATCCTAACGTGAATTTTTTGTATTTACGGCAGTTAATTTATAATTTTCTTCTTTGGGTGAAATGTTCCACCTTCCATAGTTCAATGTCGCTAGGGATACGTCTTCAAACTTAGGGCGAAACTCCTTCCTGATAGCTTTCCTAAGTTAACTAACCGTCTCTGTCCCGTTATTTTGATGTGAGAGTCATTACCTACTTACAAGCCGGAGAAATTGAAACATATGCCGATCACGATCACGTTGAGTTACAAAATATAAAAGTAGTTACATGATTATTTTTACGTCATTTAAAAATTAATAGAGAAAAGTTGTTATTTTAATTCTATAATGTGAACTTTACACCAATCAAAAATGTTTATTAATTGTACGACTAGTATAGTATATAAAATTTTTTTTAAATACACTTTTAACCAAAAATTAATATTTTAACATCCTTGCAAAAAAAACAAAGATAAGAATACTGTACAACTTTTTGCAAAAGATGTATAATTTATCTAATATGAAAAAAAACTATATATAGACATGAGCTTATTACCATAATTAATTCATAATATACATAAATTTTTCCTTAAGAGAGAAAATAAATCATTCATCTTGCTCTTTTTCCCAGTCACCACATGCTCCCATTATGACATTATCAATATTACTTATATTACTTATAAGTTTATCGTCATGGCCATCATCTGATCCAACACTTGAATCGCTGCCACCATCTACTCTTGTTACGTAACACACCCGAACGACACGATCTTTTGAGAACGGTAAACTATATTTAAAAAATCCACGTATAGTTAAATCATATTGTCGCCTTACAATATAAGACCTATCGAATCATAAAAACAAAAGTAAGTAACTGCTAAAAATAAATTTAAAATAAAATAATAAATTGCACATACCATCGTTCTTGGCCTTCTTCGCCACCAGGATTTCTCAATCTAACTTGTCCCGACGGCTCACTTACTACGCCTGTTTTATTAAATCCAGCAGCAAATACGAGGGGTTCATCGAAAAGTAATATACTTCCTAGTTCACTAGGTGTAACCTCACTTATAGGTTCACTATCCTTGGCATCGTCCCAGTGACTTCCTGGTCCACCAGGAATTCCACCAGGTACACTATTTATAGGTGTGGCAAAGACGGTAAGATCTGATCTTACAATCTCAATATTCCAAAGGCCGTAATTACGGCCCTTTACATGAATGTTAAATATAAGTTCTGTATCGGCGGCAAGAATATCTGATATACCAGTAATACTAACATCCGTTAATGGACGTGTGGATGCAAAATATAATAAATAAGAGGATGCCAAAAGGAATACGATGATTACTGTTAAAGAAGACATTGTCGGGACGCATGATTGTCTAAAAATAATAAAAAAAAAAAAATGAGAACTTTATCAATGATTTTAACTCGCTTATTTTATAATTACCTTTGGCGCGTCTCATAATTTGGTGCAAATAATGGTAATCTTTCATCATCAGCATACCAATCATTGTAAGCATTATAAGGATAATTTGAAGATCCATAATTAGGGTATCCCTTTTTATATTGAAAGACATATTGAGACATGTCGGGTAGTGAGGATCGCATAACTCCATTTGATTTATAAGTATTGTGGTTATTAAAATCATTTTGTGAACCGCCTCGATTAAATTGGTTTGGAGCTACATTGTCTGTTCCAGATGTGTTATTGTAATAACCGTAAAACGGAGGACGATGTAAATAATTACTGTATGGGCGGTGTGAATTTGGAATCGCACCGTACATATTAGGAGGCATGTGATAAGAAGGATATCCATAATTATTATCAGATGGCATATGTGGGTATGAAAATGGCTGTAATTGCGGCGGTCCACTAGATAAACTCGTCACAGATGATGCGCGAGAGTGATCGTTGCTATATATATAATCTTCTTCTTCATCAGCATCTTTAATCACAAAAAAATATCGTTAAAATAATTGGAAACAAATGTGTTAAATTATCATAAGACCATCATCTTGCATGCTCACCTTCAGCAGCATCTACAGCGCTGGCAACATTAGCAGCAAATATATCAGCTCGTGACATTCCTGTGTAACGCAAATTATATTTTATTGAACAGTGGGCAAAAAAACAAAAATGTTAATCGGAAATTATTAAAAGTATACCCACCTTCGGTTATGTTGATTGGTGCACGCTTTTTCTTTTTTGAATGTTTCACAGTTTCTACCGCTTTATTAGGCCGCTGTTCAGACTATTCAAAAGGCGACACATTAGTTAACTTCCTTTTTTTTTGAAAAAAGCACGTGATTCTTGATTTTTGGTTTTTGATGCCAAAAAATTAAACAATTCCTATCTTCAAAATTATTTTAACTCAAAAAAAAAAAAAAAAAAGAATATTTTATAAAAAATATATATAAATAAAAAAATATATAAATTTACCTGTGTATTATCCTTTTTTGCATTTCGGTTACAATAGGCAGTTTCTACAATTAATTGTCTATCAGATTTATTTTTCATGATTCTTGGGGAAAGCGTAGCGAATTTGTCCACCAACTTTTTTGTGCGGGAAGGTGAATGAGGTGGTTGAATTACTGGTTTTTGCTGTGGCTGTGGCTGCTGTGGCTGTTGTGATATCTCCAGTTGTGTATTATTTGAAATAGTTGAACTGCCACTGCTCACACTACAACTGTAACTTTGTGGTGATTCTTCAGAAATTGTGGATTGAGTTGGCATACTAATGGACATTTGGTTCGAATTTTGTGAACTTTGCCCAAGTTGTGAATTAACTATATTAGAAGACATATTTCTATTTTAGAATGTAACTAATCTATATAACGGTATGTAAGGTAAATCTAGGGGAGCTATAAGGGCCGCGAGTTTATAGGAAAGGTAAGGGAGAGGTGAGAAAATTTAATATTTTGTCTAATATTTCTATATATTTGTTGATGTAAAGATAAAATGTCCCTTCTCTAACAAACTTCGTGTCTTTTATACTTTTTCTTGTGACCGAAGAATCAAACGGTATTGTTTATATTGGTATTCAGTGTAAGTGTTTGTCAACTAAAGGAAATACTCAAGTTGATAACGTCTTCGAGTTTCTTGTGTTTGATCAAACAAACAAACCTGTACAAATATTTATTTTTGTTTGGGGATACAGAGTCTCTATGATAAATGTATATGACGTTGGTTTTTTTATGATAGAGACGAACGAGGAATAGTTAGGTGAATAATTTGTAATACACTATTAAAAATAATGATTCTCTGACAATTGTTTTTAATTATTTTTTTTTCTCTCTTTTTTTTTCACGAAAAGATATATGTAATATAAACAAAAAAGAAACGCTGGTACATTTACGATTCACTGTATAATTTTTTATGAGAATTGCTTTCACGATAATTTTGTCGCAATGATATTGATAAATTGATAATGTAAATGGCTCAAATTGCAGAAATATATATAAAAGGATAATCCTTAAGGAGTATCACAAAAAAAAAAGCAAAAAAATAAAAATAAAAACGTTTCGTACCTTTTCACAAGCACATGACACCTTTGCATCATGTTGTAATTCCGTTGCAGATTACCCCTCGTTCGAAATATATTTATTTATTTTATTTTATTTTTTTTTATTGGTTGATATTAACCATTATTTCAGTTTAGATCCAAATCAATGTATAAAATGTGCAAATAAAAAAAAAAAAATTTCCGTCTTCTTTTCAATGCTCATATTATACAAAAAAATTATAAAAGATTAAAAACTATTTGAGGGGGGGCGTGCGTGCAATTTAACCGTATATAACTTTTCCGTTACAAAAAATCTCATAACCGTCAGTACGTACAAAGTTCAAGATCAAAAGATCATAACCGAGGTTCGTGACTCTCGTCATGTAAGGAATAATAATGTACGGATTATCACTCCAGGTACTGTTACTGTACAATCACTTTTATAATAAAGATAGAAATAGTAAACAGTTACCTCAGGGGTGATACATGGTGATACAGAAAGAAAAACCACATGTGAGATAGGTCATAGGTATTCAATAATGATGAAATTCTAAGGGTGGTTAGAGAGATCAATCAACAACGTCTAATATTTCTTTTATAATTAATTTAATTTAGTTCTATAAAGTAATATAATTTTATATGATAATGACGCGGGATTTAGTAATTATTTTTTTTTTAATTTAATAACAATGTGAAACAATAGTTTATATTAAAGAAATTTAACAGCTATGTTATATACACGTTATTATGTACATATTCGTGCAATGCTTATGAAATAATGAGAATAAAAATCTCTTCATACCCACACAATATTTATTAGTAAAAAATAAGCATCATTATGAAATAACCCATGTTCAAACCTTTATACAGTAATTCAAAATTCTCAATTATTTCGCGTCCTATTAGCATTACCAATATTAATATCCATCTTAATAATTATATAACGAGATATTCGTTAAACTCATACTAAAACGATAGGAGTCACCTTTGGCTTCTCTTCTATGAACATAAAAAAAATTATTTTAATACATTTCAAATTACCAAAAGAATCCCAACTAATACTTACGCCAAACAACCATTCTACCACTAGCATTTCCACTGACAATTATGTTTAGTTTTGGGTGAAAAGCATTTACAGCTGAATAAGAAAGCAGATTATATAAATAAAATATTCCTTGAATCCGGAATTATCAGAATAACTTTCGATTCTTTTTTTTTTTACCTGGTATAGCAGACAGATTCTCATCACGCATATTCCCAATTAATTCTCCAGTAACTGCCGAATATATGTCTGCCGATCTTTTCATATTCCCAACGATAAAATGAGGATGCAAGTTTGGGTTTGGATTCCAGGTCGCTCGAAACATTGTCACCCACCTTGAAAGTAAAGATATTTATGCACGTTATAATAATGGTAATTATTTGCGTAAGTAAAATAAATCATATGAATTTGCACTTACCTTCCTACTTGATTGTTATTTGGGATCTGTATACGTTCTTTTAACTTTCTTTCTTCATTATAATAGAATACTCGCATCAAGTCATCATAGCTGGTTGAAACAACTTTGTCCCCTGTGGGACTCCAGTATGCGCTAGTTACTGATTTAGTGAATGTGAATTCTTGAACTTTACAATCTGAGCCCAGTTTACGGATATCCCAAAGACACATCGTCCTATCCAATGAAGCAGTGACCATTAATTCTGGACGTATTGGATTCAAAGAAATACATCCGACTTTCTTATCATGAAGATCGTAACCGTTAAAAACGGTTATAGGCTGACGAATATCTTTGACTCCAACAGTTCCTTCATTTGTTGAAAAGTAAATTATTTGCCCAGTTGAGTCCATATCAAAATGAGTATAAGTATACTCATTACTAACGAAAGTTTCTATAGACTTAGCTTGATTAAGGTCGAGATAGCGAATTGAACCATCATACGAAGATGTAAAGAGCAAATTTGAATCCGTAGGAGAATATTGAGAACACGTTATGGTTTTTGTATGTGCGTCGAACATGAAAGTTTGGCATTCTCCGTTCCCATATTCATTCACATTTATCTCATTAACATCCCAGAAACCTAAAGAACCTTGTTTGTCTCCCGCAGATACTAATATCTTATCTTTCGAGGGGTGTACGGATATACAATATATTCTTTCAGGGGTTACTTTAACGGATGACCAATCTTCGGTCGTTTTAAGATTAAGTGATCGACATCTCCATCGTACTGCTTTCAAACCCTCTTTGCCGCCTGGAACTGAATCGAAGTTAACATCATTCGTTTGAACTTTATCAACTTCATAATCCTTTCTAGAATCCTTGGCCATTGATAAATCAGATAGAATGCCTATGAATTGATTAGTATCATCAACTGATGTTCTATTGGCACGAATCGCGTGCAAGGCTAGGATGCCTTCTAGACGAGCTCTTTTTTCTTTTTTTACAATGTCTTCTTCGACTCGCCTTTTACCTTCTGACGAATCTGGTTTAACACCACGTAAGCGTAAAGAATGCCGTATAGGCTGAGTTTTAACTTTTGGTGGCCTTGGCTTTGGCTTGGGTTTCTTAAAGGATCTGACAATATCTGGTATATTGAGTTGCTGAAGGATTTCCTCATTTCGACGAATGTTTTCTTGACGCTGTCGCTCGCTAATAAGTAATGGTAACAAGGTAATAATAGAATTAATTATATAATATATGACGCGTTCAAAAAAAATAAATTTTACTTACTATTCATTGGCAAAGTCACTCATTTCGTAATAGAATAATATTTTGGTTGAACACTTAAACGCGTTTTACTCTCAATTTCTTTAAATGGATTTTTTTTTATAAGTCGCAAGCTTATCAACTATTCTGGGATTTTTTCCACGCGAAAACTAATTATATTATTATATGAAAAATCGTGTTACTCAATTAAAAAAAAGTCCAAATGATAGTATGACACAATGATTATTACATTGAACCCACTAAAGACATGTGATCAATAGATGAGCACAGGTGAAAGTGAACCAATCACTGTGGAAATCTTAGATATAAAATGACCTAAAAATCCGTAAAAAAAAATTTTCAGCATTATTTTTTTTTACGGTAAGTAAATTTTTTTTTTACTAAAGAAGTTATATATTCATATGATGAATTTTTATTCCTTTGGCTGTCTGAAGACAAAAAAAAATGAGGATAAAAAACAAAAAATCGCTAGAAAAATATTTTCTGATTAATAAAAATTTTTTTTGTTTTTTCCTTGTTATATATATCATGGTTTATTTTAATTTTATTATTTTTATTCTTTTTTTAGATCGGCAAAAAGGTGCCGATCATTTATGGGCCTGTCTCTTATACACATCTAGATGTGTATAAGAGACAGATATATATCATGGTTTATTTTAATTTTATTATTTTTATTCTTTTTTTAGATCGGCAAAAAGGTGCCGATCATTTATGGGCTGTATGAGGGTAATTTTTATCCCGTTCCGATTTGTCAAGTTCTGCGCACAAACGAAACGTAACACCTGATTATTCAATTAAAAATATGTATAATATTAATAAGTACAAAACAAAACGTGGAACTTAAAATATTCTAGTTGGGATAAAAAGGGAATAATAAGTTGTATTGTACATTATTAATGAAATATAATAAATATCAAAATCAAACCCAAGTAAAATTATTTCGTTTCTTCCTTTTCCTTTTAAAATAAATTTTATAATTCTAAATTTTTTTTTTTTAGTCAGTATGTCTCAAAAGTCTGTCTCGAATGTTGTTAATAACAAACGTCTTAGCATGATGGGCTCGATGTTTTTATCTACACCGCCTCCACCTTTTATCGAATCCAAAGAACAAGAAAATTTTAAATTATGCAAAATGAAACCGCATGGAATTTGTCTTCCACCGTCACCGAATGAAATAAATAGATATGAAAAATGGCATGATAATGAAGATGAGGATTATTTTTCATTTGCTGCAAGTAACTTGGCAACATCAAATAAGGCTCGCTCAAAACACTCCACTCAAGCATTTGCTAGATTAGAAACAACTAAGGAAAATGATACGTTTACAAGTTTGTCACAAAAAGTCATCGTAGAATCACCAAAGATTACAGATAATCTGGTTCTACAATTAGAAGATACGTTCATACCTCCCATGTCATCATCATGCTCAACTTCAACTTCCGGAGATTCCGATATTGATGATTTAAATCAGGAAAATTCTACTTTTACTTCCAAACCTCCAATGCAAAAGCATCTAACTAAAGATTTTGATTCTTATGTATCTGAATTTATTCGTCATAGCGGATTTACTATGAAAGTTGCAAAGAGACGGGAAACCACTTCCATCTTCGGAAATTTCTTTTAATCACTAAACCTCGTTAATAATTTAGTTTAATTAATTGTCATGGTTGCATTTCTTAATTTGCATTGTCTTGTACATAGTAATTACCTTGTGCTGATTATCATAAAAACATTAATAGTTAATACTAATAATCATATTAATAACAAAAAGTTTATAAAATTAATAAAATTAATATTTTACTTTTAAATAGATACTTTTATTTACGTCTTATGAATAATACAAATTTTCTAACAACTTGAATTTGGTAATTCTTGTAATTAATGCAATGAGGAACTATTCTCCTCAAATGCCTCGCAGAGATCCCATAACGTTTCTCTCGTTTCCAAAAACTCATCACATGTTAACCCTTTATCTCCTTCTTCATATTCAGGATGAAGATTAAGATTTAAATTTTGAAGTATGTTCGCAAGTTGATGTAGAAAGTTATAAGATTTAGTGGAGATAGTAAGATGTGAAAGTGTAGGAACTGAATGAACCGATAGCATTTTATCATTCGGAACTGACATATCAACATGTCCATTAGAATTTAAATATCTGAAAATTTTAGGAAATGAATTTGGAATAGGATAAGTAACGTTAGTCGAAAAAAAAGATGAACTTCCACTATTTAAAGACTCATAACGCTGAAAAATTTCTGCAGCAATCTGGGACGCGTTCTTTGGGTTTTGTCCTGCCAAAGGTTCAAATTGATTAGGTAGTCCTCTAACTACAACGGATTGTCCATATATTGTTGTTGCATTCTGTAAGCACAAGTAAAATATTTAATTAGATTATATTTATTAAAATATAAAATATTAAATTCTATCATACTTGTTTTCCATTTAAAGTCATTGATAAATCTTGTATAACATTATTATTCTCCGTAGGCAGCAGCTTATTGACATCTACTTCACCAAAATTGCTAATAGGCAAAGGAAATGCTAAACCAAGTGATCCTAACTTTGTATTTCCACGCCAATTAAGTTGAGTTATCAAGTCAAACATAGATGTAAAATTGTGACGTGATCTAAATTTTAAGAAATAAATAGTAAAACTATTTGTTAACAACTTGAAACAAAACACAAAAAATACGTTACCTGAAAGGCAATGTGGCTGTTTCAATAGCTGCAGAAACAATACTGCTTGTGTGGTATGGTAAATTTAACTAATAAGTAAGACATATATTAAATTAAAGAAGAAAATTAGCATATACAAATAATTAATTATTTACATACGTTTGGATGATAAAATGAGTTAAAATTAGGTTGATTTGCAGCAGGTGTATTTATGGGATTGAATAGAGAAGAAAATTCTGTCAGTTGTGTGGTACTGAGAGCAATATTTAATATTTGTTTATAATATGAATTCTAAATAAAAAATATTTATTAATCAATAATATTCAATTTCATGTATATAATCTCAATGTATTTATATACTCACATGTCCTTTTGGTGCCCAACTTCTGTTTTCGGTAATTCCAAAGCTCCAAATAGCAGTCTTCGGATACTCATCACGTAGTTGTTCAAGAAAACTACATGCAAAACCTCCAAATCCATCAATTATACTAGTATATACTTGAAAACCCTAAATCATATAATTGGAGTTTCAAAAAACATTAAAAGAAACCTCTAAGTAATAGAATTACAAGAACAAAATACCTGAATCGCATCACATTCTTCAACAAAAAACCTAAAATTTTCATCAAAAGAATCTAATTCCTAATATTGAGTATTTAATTAATTTTAAATTGTGTTTTGCTTTAAAGTAAGTATTGGCCTATTAATTACCTTTTCATGCGCCAAAAATGCATTCTTTCCATATGAAAAAATATCAAAAGGCATAAATTCATCTTCAAATTGATATTGCATCATAGTATTGACACTCTTTGGGTGATAATACATCCTATTAAAATCAGACCAAAATTGAACTGTCTCGTCTAACTTAAAATCTTCTGTTTCTATTTTCATCTTATTTTCTGTTTCCTCGGTAGAAACTAATTCCTCCTAATTTGTTTGATAAAGAAAGAAAATATTGACAAATGTAAGAAATGATTCAAATTTTATAAAATAAATACCTCATTTTCTAAATGCTGTAAATATATATTTTTTGAATAAGGCATCTGAGCATGAGTTTCAGATCGTCCATTCCTAATAAAAAAAATTTTTTTATGAGTTTGTAATTGTAAGTACAGAAATACAATTATTTACCAATTAGACTCGTGCAATTCATTTTTTCCAGGGGACTCTTCATAGAGTTTATTAATTTTCTTTAGAGATCCAAAGCCACCTAAATATCTATGGATTAGTTTTCTTTAATAATCAGAAAAGCAGTATTATTATTACTAACCCTTCAAATCATATAACAATAACCGTGGTGTATAAGTTTCAATACCCTTTTACATAGGAATTGTATTATTAATATTATATAATAATGCCAAGATTTAACCAGTACAAATGAACAAACCCTTGGAGTAACTCCAGCACGAAATAGAGTATCGTGTACAATTTCCGACTTAGGAGCATTTAAACTTTCATTATAAGTAAAATACGCCTCCTGTACATATAAGTAATATTAATATTCAAAAAACTAATGTAATGGACTTTTAAAAAATGCTAAAAACCTGAGAATTCCAAAAATGTGTCCCAACAAAGTTTGCAAAATGCCCAAACTGCAAAGTCAGTATCTCATGCATTATAGTTTAGCAAAGAAATATCAGATTATCAAAAATTAGTCGTACCGACAGGTTTTGATCACCTTCTAAATTTGGTAACAAACAAAATATTATTATGGTAAGCAGCTGGCCTGGTTAGCAAAACTTCACTTGTATTCTCAGAGCGCAAGTGTCTGCTGAGTATTAAGTCTGGAAAAATACTCAAAATGGCTCAGTTAATTATTTCTTTCGTTTCTTCTAATGATTGTTTCATAAATTTGCCACTTGTCTTTTCAAATTTTTTTTATGAACAAAATCAGGTATTTTAAAATTTTTGAATTTATTGATATTTATTTTATTTTGCTAATAAATGACTGCTTGAACAAGTTACCACAAAATGTTGTTATAGAGTTATCTTGGCAGGAATCTAAAAGTTCACGAAAATCTTATGTCGGCTGGTCAGGAAACCACTCTAAACAATCGGGCACAATTGACATAATTGAGATAGATCCACAATTTGGAACTGCCATTGGTTTACATGATGGTCAAAAGGTAATTGATTTTATCTTGATAATTGTTTATTTACTTTAAATTTAAAATCAATTCGTTTTTTAAAGGTATCTATGAAAATTTGTGAAAATTGCCCAGAGGCTAATTCGGTGCATGTCGAACCTTTTAATATCGAAGATTGGGAAATAATGGTTAGTAATACTTTATCTGTCTGTTATTTAATTGTTTAAATAATTCTCTTATTTAATCTAAATTTCAGGATCGTAGAGCAAATTATCTAGAAGATTATATCGTCCAACAATTACGCGTCGTGTATATTAATCAAATTGTCACATTGTGGATTAATTCAAACCTTACAAGACTCAGAATTGGTTTGAATTTTTATAATATTATTATATCTTTAAATAAAATGTTATTTTTAACTGATGTCTATATTATAGTGGAAATTAATCCAAAGACTCAGTTTCAGTTTGCGAAATTATGTGCGAATTCAGAAGTCTTTGTCAAACCAAAGCCGCGTCCGACAGAAATTAAGTCATCCGAAAATAAAGATATATCAGCTAGCAATGCTTTAAAAACTCCAATATATTGCTTGAGAGTATTACCTAAAGAATATATTGGAATATTTCCATCAAGTCCAATTGAACTTTATTCAGTTTATGTTCATCCAAAAGATTTTGTCAATATTAGACTTTCAGACAACAGAGTTGTGCGTCTTTCTAAAGTGCAGCCCCAGCAACTACTTCATAATAACAAAGAAATACCACACAATAAGGAAGGTGAAGATAAATCTGACATAGACAATAAAAGTTATTCACAGAATATTATTTATGTTAAAGTTGTGGAAAATTTTGATGTGGTTCCGGGACATGTGGTTTTATGTGAGTCAATTAGAGATTGCTTAGATGTTACAAATTTTGATATCATCAGGTAAATTCATTTTATTATTTCGTTTAACTAAAATTATAAATATTAATTTGGGAACGATTTTTCTTAGACTAGCACCTTCACAGACAAATCCTGTTGCTTTATCTAATATTATAATAAGAAATATAAGTCCATTTCAAGTTAATTCCTTAAAACCTAATCATTCTGGCAGGTACAATAATAAATATATTTTCACTTTTGTGTATTTTCTTAGACTAATTTAAAATGCTTTTTAGTTTACCTGCAGATAAATCAGCATTTTCAAATGTTTTAATTAATTCTTTTAAAGGTATTGTATTTATGTACCAATTGTTTTTTTAGCATATTCTAATTTATTAATTTATTGTATTTATAAATTTTAGCTTTTTTTGACACATTATCGGAAAATTCTGAAGTTGTGTTTACAAATGGAATGAAATTACCTTTACCCTCAATTAATGGCAACCTAAATATTACAATATTCTTAGGTGTAAAAACAGTTAACAATCAAAATGATGGACGTCATGGAAAATTTGATTTTCCTGAAATGTTTACAATTTTGACGAAAAAGAAATTACAAAACACAAAGATAGAAGTTGGTGATAATATCCCAATTCCCCCAGACAATAGACCTTTGAAACAGTAAGTCAAATGATACATGTGGATATTTATACATAAAATGTATTTAATACAATTTAGTGTTTATTTAGGTCTATACAGGATCATCTCCCAAAACTTGCTGGTGTCTCAAATCTTATACAACAGTTAGAGGGTTATTTGCGATCTTGTCTTGGAAAAGTCCCATTACGAAATGCATTACGTGTTCCAGGTAAAACTTTATGAATATTTTTCGTTTTTAAATAAAATATCGTTAATAATAATATTATTATTATAGGCATGGGAGGTTTACTATTATGTGGTGGACATGGATCTGGTAAAACTAGTATAGCTAAAACAATCACATATAATCTGGGACGGGATTTACAGACTTTAGCTTGTAAATTGTTCAGAACTTGTAATATCAATTATTTTTATTATTATCATTATTTTAATTAATATCATGATTATTTACTAGATTGTTTAGTTGTAAGATGTACTGAGTTAACAGAAGAACGTATATCATCTGTAAGAGATAAGTTACAACAGTTGTTTGATGATGCTGCATGGCATGCTCCTAGTATAATTTTTTTTGATGATCTTGACAGATTAATTCCAGCTGAAGTAGAAGTATGTATACATTTTGCATTATTAGTTATCTATAAAATTATTTAATCGCTTAAAAAATTATTTAATTTATTTTAGCATATAGATTCATTCAGATTTCGCCAGCTTTCTGAATGTTTCTTTCATATTGCTACAAAAATGTGTGAAAGGCATAGGATAACAATTTTTGCAACTGCACAACAACAATCTTCGATTCACTCATTTCTTATTACAAGTCATTTATTTAGTGAGATTGCTCAACTGGACCCACCGACAAAGGCAGAAAGACGTGAGGTAAACATTTGAATTACTGATTTTATAGAATTTGTAATTGTTTATTAATATTATTAATATTTCATCAGATTCTTGAAGCAATAATGGCTTCTGGTCCTATTCTTGCACAAAATAGTATATCTCATCTTGATTTATTATCAGTAGCAAGCGAATGTGAGGGATATTTTGCTGCAGATCTTAAAGTACTTGTAGAACGTACTATACATGAAGGGGCAGCTAGACAATTAAATAATGAGTCTCAATTATTGCTCACAAGAGAAGATTTTCACAAAGCTCAGGAAGGATTTGTTCCTTTTTCTTTACGAGGAGTAAAATTACATACTTCAGAAGTTAGTTGGACTGATATAGGAGGTAAGTTTATAAAAAATTAGTGATGTTATATAAGATTTTTATTTATTTAAGCTTTAATTAGGTTTGGAAGAAACGAAAAAAGTTTTGTTAGAAACTTTGGAATGGCCCACCAAATATGCTTCAATTTTTGCAAATTGTCCTTTAAGATTGCGATCTGGGTAACGTTACATAGATATTAAAAAGTAAATATTATTAAGAAAAAATATTTACATGATTAAACATTATTTTTTTATTTCTATTTTACAGATTACTTTTATATGGGTTTCCAGGTTGTGGAAAGACTTTGCTTGCTTCAGCAGTTGCAAAAGAATGTGGTCTTAACTTTATTAGTGTTAAGGGCCCAGAATTATTGAACAAATATATTGGTGCTAGTGAAAAATCAGCAAGTATTTAAGTGGTACTTATAAAAATCTAATCCATTTTATTAATAAGTTAGTTAAATTCATAATTAATTGTAGGTACGTGACTTATTTGAGCGTGCGCAAGCAGCAAAACCATGTGTTTTGTTCTTTGATGAATTTGATTCTATTGCACCTAAAAGGTTAGCTAATTTCATTTTGATACAATTTTTTCTACAACTACTAATATATTGAAATTATTCTTAGAGGTCATGATAGTACTGGAGTAACAGATAGAGTAGTTAATCAAATGTTGACTCAGATGGATGGAGCTGAAGGACTTGATGGAGTTTATGTTCTTGCAGCTACAAGGTAACATAAGCAATCTAATTTATTGTGATTATAATACTATTGATGGTAAAATAATAAATTTATTCACTAGTCGTCCAGATCTCATCGATCCTGCGTTATTAAGACCAGGCCGTCTTGATAAGTCATTACTGTGTAATATTCCGACATTTCAAGAAAGAATCGAGGTCTGTTATTATTTCGGTTTTATTGATTAATATATATATATTCATCTTTTAATATATAAATATTTTTTTTATAAAGATATTGAAAGCTTTGTCAAGAAAGATGGAATTAAATGAAGATATTGACTTGAGTTATTATGCCGAAAAGTGTGAAGGGTATTCTGGCGCAGATTTACAAGCATTATTATACAATGCACATCTTAAAGCCATTCACGAGGCTATCGATACTGAAAAGTCATTAGAAAAATACAAATCAAATTCTGATGGAAATGATATGCAATTCATTTCTCTTAATGCAAAATCAGCAAATACAGTTACTTTACTAACAGCCGCAGAAAAGGGCCAAATATCACAAAGGGTAAGAAGAAAAGATAAACCAGTATTTTAACATTAATTAAAAATATTAACATAACCTTGTTTTATAAAGTTAGCACTAATTAAGAAAGGGCTTGTAACCAAGAAAACCATTACAGTTGAAAAAGAAGGGGAAGATGATATAAAGAAGAAGCGAACAGTAAGTTATGAAGTTTGCATATATTTTCTATTGTTGATGATGTTAATTTTTAATATTTAAATTATAGGCAATTATAACGAATGAACATATGCGAGCATCTTTAGAAATAACGCGACCTTCAACTACACCTGAGGAACGTGCAAGATTATCTAATATGTAAAGAAAAGTTTTTTTTTTAAAAAAAATATATATATACATATAATTTATAACATAAATTTATTCCTATATTCATAAATATAGATATGAAGAATTCATCACAGGAAGAAACGGAGAAATGCCTAGTGGTATTTTTAGTCACGAAATCGGTCAAAGATCTACACTGTGTTAGATCTATAACAAGTTTGTGTCACGTTTGAATAACTCACAATGCGGACATTTTTTTTCTATCAGGCTGTGTAACAGAAAATTGTTTCATTAAAGTATAGTATAATAAATTTAATATTAAACACCTAACTTTCGTTAATTTTCCAAATTTTACGAAAATATTTCAAAATTGCTCTTTTTTTTAAAAAAAAAAAGTAGTATTGCATTGTTTTTATTATTACATGAATGCTACATGTAATTGAATCTAGCAGATTTGGGATTTTTTAATGGGAGAATTTCACGCCGTCCAACCATATGATTTTGTATGGGTATATAATAATACATTAGCAGCAGATCTTAAGTCTCATCAAAATATGAACCAAAGAACTACAGCAATCAAAATTAAGGCTTCTATTGGCTCTAATTCATTTGATAGTATTAATAAATCAAGTCTGAGGGAAAGAAAGCAATTTGAATAATATATTTCGCAGGATGATGCAGAGCAAATCAATTATTTGAATAACATTACAATTCAAAATCATTACAATTCAAAATAAATAAAGTCAATTTGTGTTGCAGTTTTTAAATCCATTCACTAATTCGGTTAACATGCAATTAACCCTCGTGATCGCTAATATAACTTCCGTGATGATGGTCATTATTTAACTAAAATATCTAATCAATTTAATACTCACAAAACATTATTATACAATCTTTTCAGTTACATCAATTTTTTCATGTAAGTATTTCTTTTTTCCAGAACCTTCACCAAATTCTTCAACGATATGTCCATTACCATAAAGTTTATACTTATATATAACTAACCCTTCGAGACCTACCGGACCTCGTGCGTGAGTTTTATTAGTACTCACCTGAATTTTATATATATATTAACAAAACATCATTTATATCTAAAATAATGATTACAAATTTATTTACTTACTCCAACTTCAGCTCCAAATCCATATCGAAAGCCATCAGCAAATCTGGTGCTCGCATTCCAATATACTCCTGCAGCATCAACACCCTGCATGAATCTCTTTGCGACTTGTTCGTTTTCCGTGACAATAGCATCTGTGTGTTTGCTACCATGTGAATTTATATGTTGAATTGCTTCTTCCACGTCACCAACAACTTTAACTGCAATTTCTAAATCCAAAAATTCGGTATCGAAATCTTCTGCCACACATTCTTTGATTAACGAACTGTCTATAGAAGGAAGATGAGAAAGAGATTCAGAGTCAAGATGTAATTTAACGTTTGCTTTTTGTAATGCAGTAGTAATAGGTATAAGATGTGTTGATAGAATCGAGCGATTTACGAGAAGTGTCTCGGCTGCATTACATGCTGCAGGATAATTGATCTGAAAATATGTTACTGAGGTTTGTAAAGGAACTAAATTTTAAAGAATTCAAAATATATACTTTTGAATCAACAACAACTCGAACAGCTTTATCGATATCAGCGTCTTTGTCAACATACACTGAGCATAAACCATCGGCATGTCCCAAAACGGGTATCCTTAAAAAAAAAAGGCCAAATCTTGATTTAAATATCCTATTTCAAAATTATTCTTGTCCAAGATCCAAAATACCTTGTATTACTCTGAATATATTTCACCAAACTATTACTTCCACGTGGAACAACTAGATCAATATATTTATCCAATTCTAATAAAGCTTTGATTTCTTCACGAGTTTCAACAAGTTGGATAGCATCTGGTGGAATCACAGTATCAGCTAAAGCAGATTGAATAGCCGTCGATAGTGCTGCCAAAGAAAGGATAGATTCTTTTCCTCCTTTCAAAATTACAGCATTGCCTTAAAACAATTATTATAAATTAGTTAATTTTCTATTACTTAATATAATTAAACTGCTTCAACGCCTAACGATAAAATTACCAGATTTTATAGCTAACGAGGAAATATTGACAACCACCTCAGGCCTTGCTTCAAAAATCACTAACAAAACCCCAACAGGACAGGTAACACGATAAAGTTCTAAACCTTCATCAAGTTTACATGAATAAGTAATTTGACCAGTAGGATCTGGTAATTGATCGATGTCAGATACTCCTTTAAGCATGGTGTCAAATTTATCTCCCTTTTCAAGGTCCAATCGCTTAAACAATGAAGCAGATAATGTCCCAGCATTTACCAATATCTCAGCATTCTTTAATTATTTCAACTGACAAAATTAATAGGATGTTTCCAAATTTGATTAAATTCAAATAATTTTTGTTTCAAACCTCTTTATCAGTTCTATTCGCCTTGAAGATTTCTTGTTTCTTATCAGCAAGAACACTTATAATTTTATTAAGTGCAACACTCTTATCTTGAGTAGTCACATATTGAAGTTTATTGGCAGCAATACGTGCTCTTTGGGCTATATTAACTATATTTTCGGTTGACATTTTATACAATAGAGAATTGTATTTGCTACGTATTAAATCACGTAATATCACGTGATGTAAAATTTATAGTGCATTAGGGAGCGATAAAGCCTTGTCTTTTTTGAACTGTACTTTTTGAACTGCACTCACTTGACGCTTTCTAATAGACCTTTTATTCTTTTTTTTGCTAGCTTTTACTCAACGCGTATACTAATCATTAGGTATGGCAACAGACATCTCTGAACTCGATAAGAATGCTGATGTAGTTCCAAGGTATTTACTTATTTTCGAAGGTTTTACCTATCTGATCTGTTTTGAAAGAAAGCTAATTATCTTTTTATATCTATTAGTCAAACTGTAGTAACTTCGAGCATTGTAATCCCTTCTACGTCTACTGCTAAACGTTCTAGTCGTAGTGATGCCTTGCCGAAGCGGCGTGCTAGTAGTGAAATCTCTAGACATAATACGGAGGAGGTAATTGACGTGAAAATTTCTTTTAACCAATGTATAGTCAAAAAATTTTTTTTCTTATTTATATATTATAAAAAAATTTAGGCAAAAAGACCTCGATTGGATATGACTAACAATGAAGTTAAGAAGCGAAGCCAGAGAATATTTGGAATGCTACTAGGCACTTTAACTAAGTTTAAAAATGAAAGTCAAAATAAAACTGAAGCTGTATGTTAGTTCAGGTTTACGTACAATTTACGGGAATTTACCTTTATTTTGTTTTTTACTAATTTATTTTTTCTTAATTTAGGAAATCAAACGTGAGCAAATTGACCAAAAGCTTCAAGAGAAGTTAAAAAAAGATCATGAAGAATTGGTTGAAAAAATGAAAAGAGAAGAGCAAGAACGAAAAGAAAAGATTGCAAGAGAAAAAAGAGAGGCCGAAGAAAAAAGAATAAATGATTTGGTAGAGATCGTAATATTTATTTATCGATTATAATGCTCCAAAAACTATCTAATAACATTTTTGATTCAATAGAAAGAATGCTGGAAGAATCAAAAGAGGAATCTGGCCAATTTTCTCTGCACTACTACTGAACCTCCTTTATATTATCTTCCAGCTAGATTATCTCAACCGATGTTGGAGACTATAGCGGTACAGAAACGCCATTTAGCGTTAACACTTTCTTCTTCAATACATCAAGATGGAATCTCGACAAATGAGGATGAAAATAATGCTGAAGATATCGATATGGCAGAGAAATCTAATGAAGAAGAAGACCAACATAATAAAGAAGAAACTGAAGAAAGTCCAGGGGACATAAAAGTGGAAACTGAACAACCAGAAGTTAAATTTGAAGAACCTTCCGACAAAGTTGAAGATCAAGGAGAGAATAGCGCAGTGGAGACAGTGGAAAATGCTGCAGACGACTATACAGATACTAATGATGTGGTCCAAGAAGAAAATCAGACTAAAGATGTTGTAAATACAGTTGATAGCAAGGACGATCCGGTAGAGTATTAATTATATGTATATAGTTTAAATTATAATTTTTATTAATTTGAATTTGAATATACAACTTGTAATTCGATTTTAAAAATAAATGTGAAATGTTCCAATATTAAAACTAGATTAATTTAAAATATAACAAGTAATTTGATTTTAAAATAAATTAATTAAATAAATTGAAGTTTGAATGTTTCCTCAATCTTATTAATTATTCTTGGGAATGAATAGCTTTCTGCCATACTTATTGTATTAATCTTATTAATAAATTCTTGCCTGTATCGCGATATAAACAAAATTTTTATCCATTTCGACCGTTTTTTAAATCATGGTTTTTAGTAATTGTTCTATCACGTGACAATTAGAATTGCGAATAAAATTATGATCAGTTTAAACGGCCTTTACACGAATACACGAAAATGTTCAAGATGTTTTGATACTATATTTCTCGAGATAGTCTCAAATCTAGAAAAAAAGCTTAGTAATCAAAATTATTTTCCGATGGTTGTACAACAAACATTAAATAGTATAAATATAGCAGTGCTGATCGGATTTCATTACCCAGTCATGTCTCCTAACAATAATAAAAAATCTCAAAAAAATATTAATTATCCTAATGAATCTTCAAGAAGGAGAATTTTACATCATACCAAGATAATAGAATCAAAAGAGCAATATGACAACGATTATGATTCAACTACGACTTTACATGGTTTTCACACTTCACATGATAAAGAAAAAGCCAGTTAATAAAATTTTTTTAAAATTTGAATAGTAAAAATAGTCGAAATTAATTATATTTATAAATCTTAATAGCATCTATTATTCGAATTGGTGATGTTTCTTTAAGAGTTACCGAACCAAAATGCCCTGAATTGGTTCCTCATTACATTGATCCACTTTTTGAAGAATCGCAAGTTTGTATTTTTGTATAATTTTTTATTCGGAATATTAATTCAATCATTTTATTAACGTCACGTGATTACCAAATACAGGAAGTTCTTAGACATTTAAGATGGTAAACTCATAATTTTTATTGGTTTAACTTCTATATCATAAACTTACCTTAATATTAACATAATTAATAGGATAATGCAAAAAGACAAATTGGGACAAGATATATTTCTCATTGGGTATTTAAGATTTAATGCAAACAAATAATTCGTTTATATTTCATTTTGATATCAATAAATTTTAATTAATCGATTCTTAATATAGACCTCCCGGAAATTTGCGTAGAGGACTTGTTTTAAAGTATGCTCAACTTACAAATCGAGAAATTGAATATATCCCTTTATCAAAGGATTGTACTGATTCAGACTTAAAACAACGTCGTGAGATATCTGGAGGCACGGCATATTACGTAGATCAAGCTTGTGTTAGAGCTGCTACTAATGGTAGAATATTAATTTTAGATGGTATTGAAAAAGCCGAAAGAAATGTTTTGCCGATATTAAATAATTTATTGGAGAACAGAGAAATGTCATTAGAGGATGGGAGATTTTTAGTGAATCCAAAACGTTATGATTCTTTAGCAAAAACGAATGATAAGAACGTCATGGACAAATGGAAACTTGTAAGAGTATCAGATCGATTTATTGTTATGGCTTTAGGCCTACCAGTCCCGCCTTATGTTGGACATCCGCTTGATCCTCCACTTAGATCAAGATTTCAATCAAGAGATGTAAAACCACCTGGATTTGATTCTCAAATTAGACATTTAAAGAAATTGGCACCTCATGCAAATTCGGAGTTAGTTGAACGATTAGTATCAGTAGCAACTGTTCTTGGATCAATGTCATTTGATGATGGAGGAGGAATTGAGATTCCTGAATTTTCTATTTCGGTCGATACAAGTGTTCTTGTATTGCAAAATTTTCCACATATTAAGCCAAGATTTTTGTTGGATTCGTTATATCCATGGCCATTGTTACCAACTTGTACTGCTGAACAAAGGAGTGTTATTGAAGCAACTTATCATCGTTTTGGAGTGCTTGGTTTTGAAATTGTCAAAAAATCAACAAAATTCAGTAGTGAAACCGAACAAGATATTTTATTTCAATGTATGCCAGGATATAATGTCACTGACATAAAATTGTCAGAATGTAAGGAGAATACTTTACTTGACGGTTCTCCTATTCATAAGATTGATTTAAATTTCCATCCTGAAATTGAAGGTGAAAAAGACCATTTAGTTCAAGTTTTTGGTGGTGGTGAAGATCCTTCAACTGCAGATTTTTTTGTTGAAACCAACTATCATAGAAGTATGTTTAATTCTATGTTGATTGCTCATACTGTGGGTGATTTTTGTGTTCTTGGTGGAAAAGGTGTTGGTAAAAGTGCATTGATAAGACATTTTGCCATAAATCTTGGGTATGTGTGATTGTATGTATTGATAAATGTATTTTAATTTGTCTAATTTTATTCTACATCTGATAACCAGTTATAATATTGAGTATATTCCGTTATATAAGGATATGTCTGCTCGTGATCTCTTACAACGTCGCAGCACAACTTTTGCCGGTGATACAGTTTGGGAAAATTCGTCCTTAGTGAAAGCAGCATTGTCTGGTAGTCTTGCTATTATGGACGGTATTGATACACTTTCATTTGGAACAATAGTAACATTGCAACGTTTGATCAAAGAACGTGAAATATCACTTCCTGATGGATCACAATTAATTCACCCTGCTAGATATCAAAAATTAGGACAAGATTACGGGCTTACAAAAAAACAATTGGACGAAAAGAGAATTTTTTTTATTCACCCAGCATTCAGAATTGTAGCTTTAGGACGTCCTTTTAGTGGTGGAAGTGATGAAGGGAGACCTGGTTCTTGGTTGTCACCAGAAATTGTCTCAATGTTTCAATTTATTGTTGTCCGTCCATTGGATTATCAAGAGGAGATGCAAGTTCTTGAAACTTTGTCTCCTGGAATAGATGCTAATAATCTTTCGTTATTGTTGAGATTTGCAAATCGCCTTCGTAGAGGTTCCGATGAAACTGTAAAGACCCTTTCTAATTCACTTTCCACACGGTAATTCAAGAAGAAGCATCATAATTAAAATTTATTTACATGGTAACTAATTTTTTTTATTTAATAGACAACTTATTAGAATTTGCCGTAGACTTGCATTGTTTCCAAATGATAGTTTGTATGAAGCGATTCACAGAGTTTCACTTTCGAGGTTCTTGCCATCTTTGGCTAAAACAGCATTAGAAGAGTTGATGGCAGATAATGGAATTTTACCTCCAAAGAAAATGGTTAATGTCGAACAGGTTATATAATTATCTTTTTTTTTTTTATCTTTTTTTTTATAAAAACATATTTATTAAAAATTAGTAAAAAATCTCTAGTTAAATATCGAAGTACTTCCTTCGAAGTCAAATCCTCAAATATTGAAAATAGGAAATGTTGAAGAACCCATAACAAAGGATTCTAACCCACTCTTAATTCCTAATATTGTTTTCCATGAAAATCCTAAACAGACAGAAATTCTCATGCAAATGTTACAAGATTATCAATTAGGTACTTATTATAAATATAATACAGCAGAATAGTTGTATACAAACTAAATTATAATTTATCTATTTAGGTGAACATTTGTTGTTAATTGGTAATCAAGGGGTAGGAAAAAATAAGTTAGCAGATTACTTTTTACAATTGTTGAGATTGCCTAGAGAATATATACAGTTACACCGGTATGTTTAATATTATACATCACAACGTTTATAAATTAGTAACTTTCTATACTTTACTTTGCAATCAATAATAGTGATACAACAGTGCAGAGTTTAACATCCACACCTTCTATAGTGGATGGTGTATTGCAATTTGAAGATTCTCCTTTAGGTATAAATTTATAAAGATCATCGAAATTTTGCATATTTTATTAAAGATTTTAATTAACTAATGCATATTTAATTTAGTTAAGGCCGTTAAAAATGGCAAGTAATTTTGAGGATGAATTCAAAGATTTGTTAATTTATATTTAATATATTTAATATAAATTATAAATATTATATAGGCTATATATTAGTAGTAGATGAAGCAGATAAAGCACCAACTTACGTGACTGCTGTGCTGAGAAATCTTCTAGAAGATGGACAAATGGTTTTAGGTGATGGGAGAAGAATAGTATCTTCAGTATCATCCAAAAATACTAAGGAAGAATGTATTGTCATACATAGGAATTTCAGGATGATAGTGTTGGCAAATAGACCAGGTGAGATTATATCTATAAACATATTTAATCATAGTATTTAATTAATATTTGTTAAACCTTTCCTTATTGTACATTTATAGGATTTCCTTTTCTTGGTAAGTTATTAAGAAATGTCTGCTTGTAAATAATTGCAGAAATTCATTTTTGTTTTATTTTATTTTTATTTTTAGGTAATGATTTCTATAGAGAAATCGGGGATGTTTTCAGTTGGTAAATAATTTTATTTGGGATGCTGTTATTTTTAGTTTATTTTAATTTTATATTAATGTATTTTTATTTTTACATAGTCATGCTGTGGACAATCCTGATTCAGAATCTGAAATATTTTTATTGAGAAAATATGCACCAGATATTTCTGAAGATCTGCTTCTTAAGTTAACAGCTGCATTCGGGGACTTACGAAAGTTAGTAGATGAAGGATTAATTTCTTATCCATACTCTACGAGGGAACTGGTTAATATTGTTAAACATATGCAGGTAAGTACATATTTACTTGAAACTAATCTAAACTGGCTCAATAATAAAATTATTTAAAATTATATTATAGCAATATCCTGAAGAAGGAATTTCACGTATATTACAAAACGTTTTTGATTTTGATCAATATGACAAAGATTCGAAGGATCTTTTAATTGAAGCTTTTCAGAAACATGGAATACCAGTTGGATTAGAATCCGATTTTTCAATTAAATTGGGGAAAAGAATTCCATTAAGTGAACCAATTATTACTGAAATTTGGACACAGTCAAATTCAGAAAGTAAAATTTGTGAAGTTAAACAAGAACCTATAATATTTAGTGTATGTATAAATTATGTTTTGCGAGGAGTTGTTGAGAGAAATAATATAAATTATTTATTTAGGGATGGGAAATTCAAGTTAGTGAACCAAAAGAGCTTGATCGGACTGAAGGTAAGATAGTTAAATTTTTATGCATAAAGAGAATTTATTTAACCGATATTATTTCAGGTCGAATTGTGACTTTTACCGAGCAAATTTACAGCTTTAAGATTCCAACTCGTGGTGAGGCACTTGATATAGCAGCACTTCCAGATGGATCATTGTTTGTAGTTACGACGAATCCTGTAACTTTACATGCAATTGACCAAAATCACCAAAAAGTCAGGAGTATCGATATGTATGAGTTCTTCCCATTACAAAAAGGTAATATACAGAATACCACATTTTTACGAATTAGGAATTCTTTCTAAAATGTTTATTTTTTAATAGCTTCGCCAAGATTAAGAATAGCAATAGTGCAAACGCAAGAAACATGGTATTTAATATTACATAATCCAACCGAAAATTCATTACTTTCTATTGATTTTGCAAGAAATTCAGCAGTTGTAATAACGTTACTTATCAATAAAATCATGGTACATTTCTAACGAGTTGTATAAATATTGTATTTTTGAATGATTTTTTAACATATCTTTTTAATAGTTGACGGGATTAAACCCTGTTAAATCAATTATGCTAAGAGATTATGAGTCAAATGGAATTTTAGGTATGAAGTTAAAAGTGATTATATTTGTTTTTACAATAATTGACGTTTTATAAATATTATATTTAATAGTTTTTTACCAAGTTGAAAGATCAATTGTTCTTATGTTGGATTTCAATTCTAATACACAGCATACTATTGAAGTTCCAATTAAAAGTAAGTTACATAATTTTTTTTCCTTGATTTTTATTATGAAGAATACACTTAAATCATCTATAATATCTTATTTGTAGTTTCACATCTATATTTAATTAGACCAGATGTATGGATAATGAGAGATTGTTCAAACGGAAACTATCATCTTATATATAATGATGGACAATCTACGTATGTATTAATTTAATAAAATTATAATATTTATTACGATACGTAGCAATATAATTAACTCATTGTAGTAATAATATTAGAGTTCCTAACTTGATAAAAAATATTAACGTTAAAGGATTAATTAAATCCAAACCGGAAATAATAACTTATTTATCACAAAATGGTGTGCCTTATCCTAATGTGTAAGTAATATTTGATTTAAACTTGTCAACATTTAAATCCATATCAAAAATTTCAAAATTATTTTCTCTGCAGAAATTCAACCCTCTTATTAATAATATATTAATAAACTTTAAATTGTAGATCATCTGCTAGGTTCTTACATAACGAAAATGATTCTAATGCCTTATCTATTATAACAAATATACCTGAAAAGTTATTGAATAATCCATCAAATGAAGCTAAAGCTGAAATTATCTCATATATGAGAGAAAGCGGAGATGACGGAAGAAATTATTACAAGAATTTAACAAATTCTTCGGTATTTTTGGAAAAATCTGGACAATTGGCTACTATTATTCCATTAAAAGTAAGTTATCATTTGAGTAACCTTGTTTACTATTGAATTTGTTAATTTGTTTAAATTCGTTTAAATTTGTCTTATAACTTTTAATGTAGGATGGGAGAAGTGAAGGTTATTTAGAGCTATTTAACCCTGTACAGAACACATTATGGAGAGTTACAATGCCATTAGCCATTCCTGATGTTGGACTAATTAAAAAGTGTGTAAGCGTTATTAAAAAATTTAAATTTTTTTTTTAATAATTTAAATATTTTTTATTATTAGAGATCCAGCATTAAACGCTATTGGAAGTCCCTATATATTCTTCGAGAGAATGGCTGCAGCTATGTTGGAATTACCTAATGGTGATTTATTAACTATGGATATTAGTGGTTTGTGATTATACATTTTTTTTAATAAATATCTTTTATTATTTTGAGTTAGATGTACAAAATAAGTTATCACAATGAATTAGGTGTTGTAAGAATATGGCAAGTTGATGCTGGTCAATTAATAAATGCTGCAAAAACTTGGAGAAAACTTGTTGGGTCTATTGATCAACGTACTTTATCTATCATATATGAAGATTCTGAGGTATTATTTTTCTTAAGTATGTGTTATATTTTAAAATTGTAATTCAAATTGTTTATTTTATGATTAGGGAAATGTAATCTCGGAACATATAGAGAATGATGGTTTGCAGGATAGAAGTTCTGGTAATGGAAGTGGTGAGGGAAATGGAAACGGAAATGGAGGCTCTGGCGGTGGTGGTACGGGTGGTGGTGCAGGTGATGGAGGAGGAGACCAATTGAATTTGGAGGGTCGAGAACCTACTTTTATTGATGTTAGTAACATGGAAATTGTAAGTAAAAAAATTTTATATGAAATTGATTTTAATTCAAACTTAAAAAGGTCAATTTTGTAATTGGATTAGAGAACTGAAGCCAAACCACCTCTTGAACTTACTGATGCTCAAAGGTATGTTTCCTTTTAAAATTATGTGGTTTTTTTATCTTATTATAAAGGAATTAATTCTTAATTCGTGAAATTCTATTAACAAAAGAGAATTACATGAAATATCTATGCAAAAACGCCGAGAACAAATTAATATGACACAAGCAGATTCTGAAAAATTTAGATCATATTTAACAAATGTTCAACGTGAAATTCGTGAATTGCGTGTAATTTTAGAAAGTATTGAATCAAAAAATAAAGAACGCGTTTGGTTGAAGAATCAAAGTTCTGGTGATGTTGATGATACAAAATTGTAAGTATATATAGTTAAGGATTTCTTTCTTTTTTTTTGTGAATTCTGATATAAATTTTTTTTCAGAATTGAAGGGTTAACTGGCGATAGAAATATTTACAAGAGGCGTGGTGAAAATGATCCCGAAATTGGATTCTTTCAACAACATCCTAAAAAAATGTATTTCTTATTTGATTTGAGCGCAAGGTAAGTAAACGTAAAATTAATAATTTTACTACAATATAAAAGATTAAATTTTTTTTGATTCGCTTGATAGTATGTATCGATTTAATTCACATGATCGACGATTGGAACGATCTATGGAAGTTGCACTTAGTGAGTATATTTTAATAATAAAAAAACAAACTGATGGTTAAAAAGACTAATAAACATATTACTTTAACATTAGTGATTATGGAATCATTTAAATCATTTGAGCATAAATTTCAATATAGAATTATTGGACATAGTGGAGATGGACCTAATATAGAGTTAGTTAAGGAAGGAAAATATCCTCGTACAGAAAAAGAATCATTGAAAATTATAAATCAAATGTTTAATCATTCACAATTTTGTCTAAGTGGAGGTAATCGACATTTTTTTTAATGTGTTTTTTTAGGTTGTAAGGAGACTATTTTTTAATATATAAATTCTATTAATAGATAATACGGTTAGTGCTACCGCTTATGCCATTAAAGACATTGTGAAAGAGGAAGCAGATGATTATTTTGTAGTTGTACTTTCTGATGCGAATATTCAACAGTATAGAATTAATCCTGAAGATATAGCGAAAGGTAATCGATCAGAGCACATTTTACAAAGTATTTGACATATTATCTGACTCTCTGTTTATTTCTTATTTATAGCATTGAATGCAGATGAAAGAGTAACTTCAAGTATAATATTTATTGGTTCTTTGGCAGATCAAGCAGAAAAGTAAGTTCAATATATTTCATTTAAAGTAATTACTTTATTTTACAGAAGAAAAAACTTATTTCTAATTTAAAAAATTTTTTAGGCTAAAAAAGTATCTTGGAAATAAGGCACATATTTGTATGGATAATAAAGATTTACCAAAAATTATGAAATCAATATTTTTGGCTTCTATGTTAAAAGATTAATTTATTTAGAAATATTTAATATTTTAATAATTAATTTCTTTATATCAAGGAAATTACAATTATTAATATTTTAAATTATCCCTATATTATTGTTACTTTTTAACTTATAACGTGGAATGAAAATGATGTTTATACTAAAATTGCGTATCAATTTTAACAATAAAAGTATAATGATACAATAACATTAACACATTAACACGAAAATGATACAAAACAAAAAAAAGAATATAGAACCTCTATCTACTACGATGAGCGACAGACAAACCCGAGTACCCCAACCTTGCTTTTATCATCATGTACGTCAGTGCCAACTTAATATTTTAAGCCAAAACACACTGCCGCACTCGAAAGGATAGTATTAACACAATACTGTACCTATGAAATGAGAATTATTCTTGATTGCATTAATAATCTAATATGGTTACTTTGATTCCAAATAATGACATATACGATCCTGCAAACATATATGCGTATAAAAGTTTTAAAAAAATAAATTTATCTGAACAAATAAAATTGATATCGGATTATAATGAATTGTTCGTATTTATATCCCATTTGTTGGATATTTCTTCTAATTTTAACACCCCCATGATGATATGAATTCAACACTTAATGCTTAAGAATACATTATAGACTTATAGTATTATCCATTTTAATTCATCGTCGAGTTCTAAAGTAAAATTTGATTAATGTTTATGAAGTTACAAGAACAGTTATACCAAAAAGAGGATTACGACATTAAAATTCATTTCATTTCTGAGATTGTTTCCATTTCATTTCATTTTTCATTTCTTTAACCAGTAAAGCTTACCAAATTTTTGATGTGAATAATGTTCTTGGAAATCCTAAAATGAAAAATGAACATTTAACCTCCAACAAATACCACTTGTCCGAAATTTCAATATTTCTTTTTTCAAACTGTAATACACGGCTCCTTTTAGTATACGATGCTCGAAGATAACGAGCGTCCGAACTCTGAAGCGGTCACCTTATTTGATTAATTTTATAATCAGTTAAAAAAAAATGTATAAAAAACGTAGCATAAAATAAGTCCTTTTTTTAGCTATAGTAATAATAATAATAATAATAATAAATCGTTAAAATTTTTAAAAAATCATAAATAAATCGTTAGAAATCTCCTAAAAATATTTTCAAAATAGTGCGCCCTAATGAATATAAGCTGGTATTCATAAGAGATTATTGGTATCTTTTCTCATCTGAACATACTGCGAAGTACACGCAGTAATAGAATAATACCTATGTGCATACATGACGCGAGAGTGATAAAATTTGTTACAGTTATAAAATGTCCAATATTTTTCTTGCTTTTTTCCTACGTAATTTCGCATTAAGATTCGTATTGGTTTAGTTCTACGACTGGTTATACAACTGGTTCTAAGGCAGCTATAGATAAGCCTCGTGGTGTGTCTAGCTACAAACTGCGTCCACTAATTCTACGACTGGCCACACGACTGTAAATTACTTAGAATGCAAGATTAATTATAGCTTGGAGTTTTTAGATGAGTTCGAAAAACGAAATACTAAATTCATTGAGAGACAAGTCGCAGTTACCGGAATATACTAGGGACTGTAATGTAAAATATATTACGCAACATAAATTCTTATACCTCCCATGTATGGTATACATCCATGTAATATACACTCTACAAAATACACCCAATATGAGCAGCTTAACAAATAATTTATTTTTATGAGATGAATGAACTACATAATTTATTATAGAAACTTGAGTAGCGAGCGAAATATATGGTGAGGGAGTACACGGATCCCAAGTCATTAACATTAAATGCGGGTCCCAGCATCATACATTCATACTAATTCGTTCTACTACTACTACCACCACCAACAATTCTACTTGCTACTACTGCTACTATCTGCGAAATTAACTACTTCTTTTTTGCTTTTTTATCGGGCTAATTGGTAATTTTATCCATTAAAGTTATTCTTAAGAGTATTATTAGTGCCAAAAGAATCCAACCAATGTGCTAGCACTAAGAATAATCTCGTTTGATAGAACATTATATATTCGTGTTAGGAACGCATTTCTTTTCCTTTTCGCTTTTTGATTAAAAATGGCTGTGATATTCATCTGTATATTGTCCTAGGATACGCAGGTGAATGGTTTGATCTGACTAGAATGGAACAAGACGCAGATAAGTCATAATTCCTCCATTCAGCTTCTGTACTCATTCTTTAAATTTTATTATTTAGTATTATTATACTCTTTTCGAGGTTATTATCTTGTGGACCCAACCCATTAGATATTGCGAAAATAGATGAATATGATGACTGTATAAATGAATACGCTTCTGAAAAAACCACCCTCAATATTTATGTGTCTAAGGTTAGCATCTCACGTAATGCAATTATGGAAACGAAAAGTGCGGCCAATAAAATATCAGAAGTCGAGGCCATTGTATTAGATCGATTTTTTATTTTAGTTTTTCATTAATGTAATAGATTCTTGATTTCAATCCCTTGAACGTAGTTTGTTATTGGACATTCTATTTCAACAATTTTCTTTGATTTTTAATATAAAATGTTTCTTTGCTTTCGTAAATATGTAAATGGTCTTTTTCAAATAATTTGGGAGATAAACCTTTAATATATTTACGCTTTCACGGTAATGAACTATAACTCCCTTAAAAAAAAATGTTACATGGCATTGCGCGACGTGTAAAACTCTATAGACGAAAAAGTTAGCGTATTATCATAGCCCCATGACCTTTTTTCACACTGAATTCGAAAAAAAAGAAATAAATTAATAAAATTAAACAAAATTAAACGGATATCCTGATCAGGTGACTTTAAATTTTCCTTTGTGTAACAATGACTTTACGAGCTAATCGATAAAAAAATTAATAAATATTAAATAAAATTCGTTTCATTTTAATCTAATCATCAAGTAATCTATTTTTCAATATAAAAAGAAATTTCGAATATCGTCAGTTTTGTATATAATGATAAAATATTTAAGCCGCAGTAAAAAACGCCTTTTGACGTTTTTAATTATTTTTATTTTTAATAATCAAAATGAAAAATGATTTTTTTTTTTTATTAATTAAATTCCTATTTTATTCTTCATAAGTTCTTCATCAAACATATTATATCCGACCACAACATAGGTGGTTCTATTTAATACGAATAAACAAATAATAAAATAAATAAATGACAAAATATAAAAGAAAAAGATTCTCATAACCATTGTCCAATTTTTTAATAATATCGATGACAAGTTGTTCATGATCCAATAATGGTGCATTTCTTTCACAAGTTCTATAAATTTATTTAAAAAATCATGAGTTAAAAAATGAATGATAATATAATAAAAAGTAATTATAAAAAATTTAAATACCTTTAAGATAAGCATTATAAAAGATAATATCAGATTGTGTAAATATATTTTCTATATAATATTAGAAATTAATAAATGTTATGAACCTTATTTTTAATTAAAATCATTATATAAATTTTAAATAATTACCTTTGGAATAATAGGGTTCAGTATTAGGAAATGTACCAGGAATTATATATAATTCATCTTTTTTGTTATATGATGTGAATTGATCTGATAAAGGTTCAAATAATTTCGTAAATTCTATTTCTTTACTCAATTTTAATAAAATATCCTTAGGTGATTGTAATTCAAGGTGATCAATATCTAACACATCACTATTTGTTATAAGTGTATTATTTGTTAGTGTATTCGTATACACGTTAATATCTGAATCCGTATTTATGTTTGAATCTGCATTTGTATCTATTTTTGTATCTATATTTACATTTTTCATTGCATCTATCATTGCATCTATATTTGCATCTCTATTTGTATCTAAAATTATATCTACATTCATATTTGTATCTATATTTGTATTTGTAATTGCATTTATAAGTGGCAATTGATATGTTTCTTCAGTATTTGTTGTTTCATTGTTAAAATAAGTAGGAATAATAATTTCTTGATTTTGTTTGTTATATAAAATTGATTTAAAATGTTTTGGAATTGATTGATCCACTTCTTCATCATCAGAAATATCTAAAGTATTGTGTATATAAATAGGATCAAATTCTTTTATGTTATTATTAATAGTTTTATCTAAATTTAAAAAAGGGGTAATGATATCATTCATATTTTTATTCCAAGAACCAATCCACCATTCTCTTAATTGTTTATGAATAATTTTAATTGTAGGACGTTTTTTTGGATTATGATCCCAACATTTACTTATTAATAATTCTAAATTATAAGGTAATTTAGGAAAATTAGGAAGATTTTTAAATAATTGAGGTTTCTTAATTATTATTGGAAGATTAATTTCTTTGTTTTGATTAAAAAATGTTCCTTGAGTAATAATTTCCCATATTATTATACCAAAACAATAAATATCAGATTCTTTAGTATAATTTTTTCCATTAATTATTTCAGGTGGAATAAAATTTAATAAACCATAACTATTAGTAAAACCAGGAATTTTAATTTCATATTTTGGATTTAACTTATTTGATGGATGAGTTAAACCTAAATCACTTAAAATGATTTTATTATCCATATTACATAAAATATTATTAGTATGTAAATTTTCATGTAATAAATCTGAATTATGAAGTTGTAATAAAGTTGATGAAACGTCCATTAATATTTCTAATTTTTCTAACCAAAGTAAATTTGATGATAAATTACTTTGATTTAAATAATTTTGAACATTAGTTTCCAAGTATTGACTTATTATAGCATAATTTTTTGTTGTTGAATCTTGTGTAATCCCATAATATCGAATTAATCCAGATATATTATAATTTTGAGCCGAAAATATCTATAAGTAAAAATAAAAATATTAAATTATATTTATATATATATTTGGTATGGGTCGTGTATTATTATTTATTTACCTGATGTAATAAATCCGATTGAATATTTTCCGAATTATTTAAAATTTTAACAGAAACAGTACAATTTTTTTCATATCTTTTCCAACAATTTTCATCATAATTCCAATAACCTATATAACCATCTTTCCATGTAGCTTTATAAACTGTACCAAATCTACCTTTACCTATACAATTTTGTATTATTAATCTATTTTCTGGTATCCATTCAATTATTTCTTGATATGATGAAGAATTTAATTGTATTTTTTTAATTAATTCATCAATAATCTTATTTTCACTAGTCCAATTATTAAAATTATTTTTAAAATGTTTATGATTACATGATTTACACCAATCATAAGAAGATTTTGGTTGTTGACATCCTTGACAATTTCCAAACGACATTTTTTCTTAAAAAAAAGTTGTCTTTAAGCAAATAAATTTAAATATATATTATTTTTCAGAAAAAAAAAGTGTGTATGTATAAAGTTATATTATTATTTTTCAGAAAAAAAAAAAAGTGTATATATATAATATATAATTTACAATTTACAGAATTTATGTTCGAATTGAAATGTTAAAGCGTAATATCTGTGTGTATATATATATATAAAAATTAATTTCTTTGCTAAAAATACTTTTTTTCTTCAAAGAAAAAAAAAAAACGTTTATAATTTCTTTTTTCATTGTAGTTTTTCTGGATAAAGGGATAAGAAATCTTTAATAGAAATCTTCGGAATTAAGCGCCGTTCATTTGTTGGTTTGTTTGCCCAAAATAGGTAATTTCAGCCCCGATAATTCATGTGGAAGACGATCATTTTTTTGTTCTAAATTAAGAATTTCATTTTTTGAAATTTTGGTACTACTTTACTTCTTTTAAAAAATATACAACGATATGATTAACATTCGTGGAGATCAAGTAATAACAATTAAAGAATGTATAAATTTGATAAAAGGGAGAAACCTACCAAAAAAAAACAGATAATGATGAGTAATAGATGGATAGGTAATATCTTATTAAATAAATAAAATAATCAAGTCTGGAAGGATAATAACGTTTATATTATAGAGATAGTAGATATGATAACAGATAATATACTGTATTATAATTTTGTAATAATTATTATAGTATGCATTCATTATATAACGTATGCGCATGAACGTATTATTTGTCTATTGTTAATGAAAATAAATGTAACTATTAGAGGTTAGACGTATTATGACGTAATTAACGTAATTAGATAAGTCATACGAGTTAAGACGTGTGTTAAAGTTTGCACCTCTAGTAACGATAATAGTATATACAGTCAAGAACTTTATATGTTATGGACAAATATTGTACAGCTTTTATGATTCGGGTTTAAATATTTTTAAAATGGAATGCCATAATCGTTTTATTATTATTAATATAAAAATGGTTCGTGGCACGGATTCACAATTTGAACGGTATTTTAAGGTTTTATTGACATAATTATTGTTTTTATTATTATATCGTTAATGTATCACTAATTCCCAAAAATGGAATAATTAACGAATAAAAGCATTTCTATCAGTTCATTTTGTTTTTAATTGAGAATTTCTAGAATATTACTGAAAGATTTTTTTTACGTATTCATACGTCAATTACGTTGTTAATTCATTTATTATATCAATTAATCTAGTAGCTATGTTACAAGCGATTTATTCTAAGAAACGATTCAATGTGTCCAATTTTGGATTTATTATGCATAAAAAATTTTTTCATATGAAAAAGTAAGAACATATTATGTTCCTATTCATGCAGTTAAATAAATAACTACCATGAAAGCTACTTGTTAAAATTTTCTTCAAAAGTATTCTTCATTTCTATATAGACTTTTCGATAAATTTATTTTTGTCAAAATGAATAATGTTATTGATATTAATGGGGAAATAATGATATCATTTAAAAATAGTTCAATCTTATTCGAATCAGATATTGATAAATCGATAACGATAACAAGACATTGATTCTTCAATCGAAAACTGAAAAAATTGAAGAGGAGATACAAAAAAAAGTTTATAATATTTCGTGAACTCAGTAATAAACCATTACCTGTCATTATTTTTACCCTAATAAACAATTAAATATTTTGATGAAGAAATAGAATCAATTTGTGATGATTTATTTAAGATTATTAATGATGATAATGATAAAGACATTTACGTTTACATCGTTGACGTCTTACGCATCATTTTTCCCGTGGTAATTGAGATTATCTCGTAAAATCGATTCTATAGAATATCATAATGAAAAATTTAAACCCGAAATTCTAAATATTATATCAGCGTCTTTTTAAAACTTCACTCATGTATCCCGATTATTTTAATAAATTTGTTTCAACATTGACAATATATAACGACAACCATTAAGTTGAGCAATTCAAAAATCACTAAAGATATTGAAAATGGAATTATACTATTAAGTCCATATATGTTTAACATAATAATGTATATGGCAATTATTTATTATATCATTAATCGTGATTGGGCGTATAACAGTAACTATACTTTTAATGTACTTGCTCAAAAACTTTCAACCTATAAAATTGACGAAAATATCGACTTCAAATAAAAGATTATCAGCGGGATCGTTCATTCCTTTTACAAAAATTGCAATTTACCCTGGAATTATTTAGACCACCCTTAAATGACTTTATAAGGAATTTTTATGATAATCTATATACTGGAGAAATTTCTGTTGACCTATATTCAAATTGGAATGGAGAAGCGTTAATTGGGATCTTTTTAGAAAATTTTATTATTGCAACTGGCATATATTTTCTTTTTTTCCGCTTTAATTATTTATCCGAATTACCCGAAAAATTTCATCACGGCGGATTTATGAAATACCCCAAAATTTGCCTGTAATATCAAATTAAATAGATATTTGACAGTATTTTAGTCACCAAATTTTTAAATTATTAGTGGCAGTCAAAAAAATGAGCCCAAAAAAAATTTTTTTGTACCCAAATCTTTCTATCTAACCAATTTTCCCAGTATTAAAGTCGCGTCATTCTTTGACATTTTTTAGGGAAAATCTAATTCCCGAGGGCGCAGCAGGATTTTGCGATTTACCCAGCGTAAAATGTCACGAAAAAAATCACGTGACTGTTTTTTGTCACATGCGTTACACCCTTCCTTGTTTCCATTTTTCATAAGTATCTGGGAATCGATGGATACCATATTCGTCAATTTTAGCCGGCTTTCACGTATTTTCTCCATTTCCTCTTTCCAGTGTAACCTCCCAAGGGAGAAAAATAATGCTCACCATGGAATTCAAAAATTCCTCAACAACGATTTATTTTATTTATTTATTTATTTTATTTCAGAGAGGAGTAACCAATGACAAATACATAAAAGAAGCCAAACAAACTATAACTAGCGGTGAACTATACAATTATGAGTGCTGTGGACATACATCCCGTAGACGAGACATAGTCAACGCCTAAAAGACCTCACCCTCCGGGCTGCACTACTCTAACAGTAAAACTACGCTACTGATAAAGGGTTCGAAAAAAAAAGAAGAAAAAACAAAAAAGAACTATCTAAAAATAAACCCTAGACGAAAAATTAGTAGTAAAATGTACAGTAGGTAGAAGAGTAGAAAGATAAATGCCCGTTGGGCTTATATGTGAAATAAAAATAAATCTTTAAAGATAATTGTGTGAAACTTCGATAGGTCCTCATTAAGAGATGATAACCATGGAAGGTTATGTAAAAAGTTGGATGATGTAAGGTATATCCAAAGTTGGTCAGAATCCAGTAGTCTTCTGGAGTCGTTAAGTGGACAATAATATCCATTAGTTATGTTTGAATGTCAGTTATTACGTTGTGTAGAATTATGATGAGAATTTTGTTGGCGGTTACGACGATAGTTAACGAACGATTTTTTATTGATGTCATGATCTTTCTTGTATTGTTTCCATTTTGTGGCTCGTACTTTCCAAATTTTTTCGTATAATTCTCTATGTAGATCAAAAATAAAATTAAGTAATAGTTTCTTCGTAATTGTTTTACTGATTTTCGCTGCTTTGAATGGATATGTCAAATTTGTAGGTATAAAATTTCTCAATAGACAATATAGTTCTGGAATATCGGCGATTTGCGTAGGCGGTTTCTTTGTCCATTTAAAAATCGGATTTTGAGTAATCGAATCAGAATATAAAGCGTATACGGAATTTGATTCTGATGTAATAATAGTTTTAAATTTTTCATAAAACTTTTCGAAAATTGGTTTGATTATACTTAATACTTGTGGACAGTTCCAAAGATGATCATTGGTTTCTATATGAAGTGAACAGAGGAAGCATGGTTCATTTTCTTTGATTAAGTCTGGATAGTTGCGATTTAAAATATCCATCGTCGGTAGATTATTGCTTGAGCATTTAATTTTCCAGCTAACGTGTTTTGTATATTGCTCACAAGTCGGTTTGGAGAATGAGTTATATTTGAACCATAATTGGGAGTATTCCCAGTCTATTAAATTGTTTAAAGCGTGATGTTTGATTCGATCCAATTGATTGTGAGATAAATGTTTTTGAAAATTTTGAAAGTTGGTAATTCTTTTTGTTGTTTTACGAATATTTCGATCAATAATTATAGTATCGTTGAAAGTCAAATGATATGATTGTGTGTTGATGTGTTGAATTTTAATATTAAGATAGTCTGTCGATAGACTTCCTTCTTTGGCTAACATATCTGCAGCGTCATTTAGTGGGTTACCTGAATGTGCTTTAACTTTGATCAAGGATACGTTTAATTTTAAAGTGTTGATAATATATTTCACTGTATTCCATATCGTACAGTTATTAAGTTTTTGAAATCGTCTGGCTGTAAGTTTTGGTGAATTGAGTTTGTTAAAAGTATCTATACAACTTGCTGAGTCAGTATAGATTTGAACTTTACTGTTTGGTGTACAGGTGATTAATGCTGTTAAGATCGCCATTAGTTCAGCTTTGGAAGAGCTGGGCCAGTCTTTACAAGATCCTGAAAATTTAACATTGTCAGATAAATTTGTCGTAAAAATCCAACCGTATCCCATTTTCGGGAAATCGTCGTCTCTATTGAGCGATCCATCGGTATAAAATTCTATATTATTATAAGTAGAAAGTTGTTTACTAATATTAAAAAGTGGTAAATGTAAAGTGTCAGGTGAAATAAGTTGTGTAATTAAATTTCTATTTAAAATATTAACAGAATCTAAGTCTATGAAATTTTCTAATTGTGTTCTATATATTATAGGATCTTCCGATAAAGTAGGATTAGAATGTGAGCGTGTGTTACGAAGATTGTAATCTATAATAACGTTCTGTTTAATAGTGGAATATTGTTTAACACATTTATAAAATGGTTTTCTATATTGTTGGAAAGTTTTGTTACTTTTTGATACATTAATGATGATAGTAGAATTCGATAACGAAGTAATGTAACATGTGGAATTGGTATTGCTGTTAAAAGTATTAGGTTCAGAAAGATTGCATCCAGTACATTTAGTTAAATATGTAGGACGAGATCTTGGAGTTAAATTATTATGTGAGGAATGTGAATCAGTAATATGTGTAAAATGTTCGAATGTAATAGTCTGATGGTGATTGTAAAAATGTTGTTTTTCTACTATTCTTCCAAAAATAACGTCATTGGTACGTGGGCACCAATAAGCTATCCATATATTTTTGATACGTTTAATGTTTGTACTTTGAGGGATGATTTTAGGTCGTGTGACTAATGGGTTGTGAATGTTGGTAGGTGGTAAGTCGAAATTGAGACGTAAATTATTTTGATTTAAAATAATATTATCTTTCAGATATTGATACCATCCAGGCGTACGACCTTTTTTGTTGGGTAATAATTTCTTGATATCTTTCCAATCTCTTAGGAAAAGACCATCTGCTGTAATAATTTGATTAATATAAAAAAGATCTTTGTTTTTTAAAGATTTTATAAAATTAAAGAATTGATTTGATCGAATGAGGTAAGCAGAGATGGGGTATAAGCCACCTTTCGTGTTAAATTTAAAAGAAAATTTAAATTCTAATTTATAATGATGCATGATGCAAAAAAGGTTTTCGATTCTATTTAATTTTTTTGATGGGAAGTCTAAAAATTTTGTAGTAAAAAATAAATCATTTGTCCATAATCTCGATTGAGAGTAAAGGATAAGATATTCTATTATGTTACGAGTAAGCAGACTATTTGATTGAGCGTTAAGTAAAGAGGTTTGTGAGTGAAATTGATGATCCCATATATTAATAATATTAGGGTATATTTGATTATGTATAATAGTGTTATATATGGAACGAGGTAATAATAAGGATGTTTTGTAAATATTACGAATAATTCTATTAAAATTATTACAAACGTGAGGTAATAATATAAAATGTTGACATAAATATTCAATACGTGGTATAAGGACTTTGTTAATGATGTAAATTACGTGGTCATGTGTAATTTTTTTCCTTCGTAAACTAGAACACGTAAATTTGAGTAATCTATTAATTTTGTTGATAGTAAAAGAGTATTTGTTGTTGGTGTTGATATATATTCCTAATATTCGTTCATTTTTTGTTGGGTGTATGATCGAAATATCTATTAAATCATTACCGAATTTTAAAGGTATTGAATCTTTTTCGTAAAGATGCTTGTTGTTGGTAAGGATTTTAGTTTTATCTTTATTAATCTTGATATTTGCTAGGGCGTAAAAATCATCAGCTATAGCGAGATTTTGTTGTAGATTATCGATGTTATCAGCGAACCAAGTTGTGTCGTCTAGGTAACCTAGCAGTCTTATATCAATAATTTTTGTGTGTGATTCATCAGTGTGAAAAATATTTTTTGGCACGGATGCATATAATTTGTATCCAGGATAATATGATGTGTTAATGGCAGCGAACATGGGATCGTAATAGATTACCCATAAAAGTGGTGAAATAACTTCGCCTTGGATTATACCATTATCAGTAATATATTCTGATCCTTGCCCAAAAGGAAATAAAATTTGATTACGGTGATGAGAGAATAGTTTGTCAATAAAATTAATTAATATAGACGGTATGTTAATTCTGTGTAGAGCTATTTTGAGGAGATCTAAGTCTACTCTATCGTAAGCTTTACTTAGATCTTGAAGCGCCATATAAAATGGATTTTTAGTATCTTTTTGATGATCGATAATGGTTTGAATCTGTAATATAATTTCATTGCAAGAAGCTCCTTGAATACCTGCTTGATTGTTGTGTTGTAAAATTTGGTTGTTTGATAGGTAATGATTTAGTCTGTCGTTAATGATCTTGACTAATAATTTTCTTATACAATCTAAAAGTATTATAGGACGTGTGAGGTTGATGTCATAATTCCACCATTGAGGTTTGGGTATCGGGTAAAGGTAAGCTAATTCAAATTGTGATGGTATTAATCCGTGTATTAGACAGTTATTAAATAATTTTAATAATTCTTCAAGCATTTGTGATGGTAATTTTTTAATAATCTCATTAGAGATTTTGTTGGGACCAGTTGCTTTGTTATTGGGAAGGGTTTTGATTGTTGATTTTAATTCATCCATTGTGATAGGAGTTATTAATTTGTCGATTTTGGATTGGCGGATGTTAGGTATAGGTTGGTATATAGTGTTCCATGGTTCTCGTAATGGGATATTAGGATCATATGATCTATTTGTTCGTTCTATTTTAGCAATATTTTTATAATGATCGATCGTTCTTGATTCAATGGTGTCAGGATCCGTCGTAAAAGTTTTGGTACCATTTTCGTCTTGATAAATTAATCGATCTATTTTGATGACGTTGGGTTTTTGATCTAATAATGAATTAAGCATTCTTTTTTGATTAGTAATTATGTTATTGTCTCTTTGATCAATATATTTGGTAATTTTCTTTTTGTTAAAAGTGCTAATAGCGTCTGAATAAGAATTTTGTAAAATTTGATGGATGTTATTGAGCGTTTGTATAGTAGAATCATAATTTTCTATTGTAATTATATGAGGCCAAGTTATGTCAGCGTTGTCTATAGATATAGAATTTCTTATTTTTTCATCAGAAGTGATTCTTTTGAGTCTTTTGAGTTTAATAGGGTTGTTCCATATATTGTGAATCGGTGAGGAGTTTGAGTTATTGCCATTGGGTAAATAAAGTTTTGTTAATCTAATAAGTTTTAAAATATAATATATATCATTTTGTATTATACGGATTTCATGTGTGTATTCGTATTGATGTGAATTGTTTTTGATTATCGGGAAATTTAATGATTTGATAGTTTTGTTGATACTCTGTTGAATAACTTCGTAATGTGTATTGAGAGAAGTCTGTATAGAGTCGTCATTTATATTCTGTGTCTTTAGGCGTAAAAATTCGTCCCATACGAAATTGTGGAAATCTGTCCATTGCGATGTACTAATTTTTTTGTAATTAATTTTTTCGATCGAAGAAGTTTGTTTTTTGTTATTCAATTCTATAGTGTCATTTGAATTATTAATAAAATTGTTAGGGTTAGTAAAAAAATCATTATTGATTGATATGTAAATTAATTTGTGATCGGTATCGATAGGAGCGTTGACTATATTTCCATATATAATATAATTAATAATATTAGGTGAACCAAATATTATATCTATATATGATGTACTATTATGGTTACTAAAAGTAGGAGGTGGTGGATTAAGGTAACGTTTAATTAGATCTTTGTAGAAATTATTCTTTAAAATATTAAGGAGTTGTTTGTGATAATAGTGTTTTGGGATATTTGAATAATGATCAAATGTTTCCATCAATAGATCATTATCGTTATTGTTTTTGTAATATAGTTTGTTATGATGTGGATTAATATTAAAGTCACCCATTAGAATAAAATAATTGTATTTATTTGATTTGTTGATTTGTTGTAAGATGTGTTTGTTAATTTGATGTAGTGTTTTAAAATTTATACTTTTTGACGTTAAGGGTGGTAAATATAGATTGATAATATTTAATTGGTGGTGTTTTTTGAAGTAAAAGGATGCATGTATCATACGTCCAGGTACGTATTCTACTGGACCTATATGTCTGTATAATACAGGCGAAATTATTATGGAGATTCCTGATGAAGGATTTTCTGGATCGGGGTTGTGTAATATAATAAATTTTTGATTTGATGGGGTGTGTGTAAATTGTATGTGGTTAAGTCTTCTGTGATTGTTTTTGTTGTTTTGTTGAAAGTTTTTGTCATTATTAAATGAGTTTTTTACATCCATTTTATGAGTTTCGCAAAGATGTAAAAAATGAATGTCGTGTGTGATCATGTAGTCTATTAAGTTGATCATTTTAGATTCGAGTCCCCCTCTCACATTGAGTGACGCTACGTTAATTGTTTTTGAGTAAAAGTTAATAGGGTTAAAATATTTATTTGTGTAATTATAATTATTTTTTTTGTTATTATTTTTTTTGATATTTTTTGATGTTTTTTCAATATTTTTTTGTGTTTTTTTATTATTTTTTGATTGATCAGATGTAGAAGGAAATGGTTGATTTTCGATGTCAACTAGTGTATTAATATTGGTGTATTCCATAAAAAAAAAAAATTTTTAATAAAATTGTTATGTGTATAAGGGAAAAGTTGGGTTAAAATCAAAATGGGAAGTCCGAAGTTTAACGTTGCCAATTATCAAGGATTCTTGTAAATGATTATTTACGAGATCCAAGACCGAAAATACTGTAACTGAATGTTGATGTACTGCCTGCGTCTTCGTTTTGAGTATAGTCTGAGTCAGGTTCTATAATACCATCAGCCACGGCATTATCTGTTAATTCTGTTAAGTCTTGGTGCATTATAGTGTCGTCTTCAGTTTGAGGAAAGTTATCACTATCGTCAGCTGAAGCTCTAGAGCTAGAAGATTTGATAGATGATCTTGTGTAATGTTTTTTCTTTGCTTGTTCGTATGATGTTTTATCATACGGTGATGAGCGTTTGGATTGTTTAATATGCTTTTCTTTAATGTTGATAGTGTCGCCAAGTTTACTGATATTATCAGTAAGTTTTTGTAGTATTTCATCATATTTATCTTGTTTTGTATTAATATTATTGACAGATGTTTCGATATTGTTAACTTGATTTTCAATAGTAGAGAATTTTGACTCGTAATGTTTAGATTTATTTTCTAATTGTGATATTCTATTAGTGAGGGTATGTACTTGATTTTCTAGTTGTTTAACTTTTTCTAATAGGTTTTCGTAATTTTGGTTATTGTTATCATGTGGTTTTGACGTAGTTTGCTTTTGGTAAGCAGGTGACGGGTTATATGATGTGTGTTGAATATGGTTATTTTGTGATTGTAGTGTACGATATTGTTGTGTTGTTTGTGTGGATCTAGGTTTGTGTTGTTGTGTGTTGGCGTTAGGCGTGTGTGTTTTGTTTGCATTAAGGGCGATAACGTGATTATACGTGGTTTTGTGTTTATCATCTATAGTGATTTTTTCTTCGTTTCTTTTAATAAGTCTTTTTGTGAAAGTTTTTCTGTTATATCTATCAATGGTGAAGTTTTTGTTATCACAGTTGTTAGTGGTATGGGTACATGTTCCGCATACGTTGCATGTTTTGGATATTATTGTGCTGGGGTAAATATAAATTGGAGATCCATTGAAGGTGGTACTAATTGCACTTTTTGCATTCTCAGGAAAATTTTTTTCATCTATGTATATGTAGGCGTTCTTCATTATAGAATATTTAGATGTTTGAGTGAATGTGCACGTGCGTCCATGGAGATATTTTATAATTGGTTCAATATCCTTGTATGTGGTGTTTAGGGGTAGCCCAGTTACTTTGTGATAGTAAGAGGTTCTTTGCTTGTATATAGGAGTGTTTTTATTTCCAGGTAATATTCTAACGCTAAAATTTTCAATTTCTAAGCTCCAATATTCTTCTTGCATGAAGTAATTATATGCAGATTCTTTTTGGAATCTTACTATTAGCTGTTTGTATGCTGGGTTGATAAAGATAGGTTTACCTTGACGGTTGTGTCCTGGTAATCTTCTAGGTGGTTTTTTGATTTCTTTATGGTCAATAATAGCGCTTTTAGTTTTATTGGCTAGATGTTTAAGTAACATCTTAGTGTCGTAGTTATATGGTATATCCATTATTTGGATTACTGCGCTGTCTAAATTTTTGAATTTTTGTTCAATTAATGTATTGATGGCGTTATTTGTAAGTTCGTATATTTTTATGTTTTTTAGTTCTGGTGGACTTTTTTCTATGTAATGGTCTAAAGAGTCACGTGTTCGGAATAAAATGCTAAAATATCTATATGTAGATACTGCATTTACTTCGAATTTGAAGGCGTTATTGTCGTTGATAAACGCAGATTTGAGTAAATTGATTATGTCATTATTTGTGAGGGTTGGTAAAAAGCTATCTCTAGGGATAAATCCTTTGTATGCTTTGTTGGAATCTTGTGGTGATTGTGTAAATAAGTCATTAATTATGGTGATTTCAATCGGATTAGGTAAATCATTTGGTGGGTTTGTTTGTCTATCGGTTGATTTTCCTTTGTTTGGACTAGCTGCTACATGATCTTCGTCCATAAAAGTAGAATTTTCTACTTGATTGTTGATTGGTGTTTGTATCGGTTGATCATTTACATTGGTGTCATGTGACATAATATTTTGTTGAGAGTTCGAAGGAATTTCTTGAGCAGTCGTTATAGTGACATCTTCCATATTGTTATCGTTGTTTGCTATATTTGTTGTTACGTTTTGGTTATCTGTTTTATTGGACATATTTTTATTATTATCTTTATTACGAGGGCTGTAAGTATAATATATATCTTCTTCGTTGGTAACTGTTTTGTAGGATTTTTCTATGTTTTTTAAAAATTTTTTTGAAAATTTTCGTCCTATTCTAAAACTCATATGAATATGTTTCTGAGAGATCGTAGAGGCCAAAAATGGTTGAAAAATTAACACTTGTCTATGAAGAAATATAGGTTTTTAGTAAGATTTCTTCTTGAATTTTTTTGGTTTTAACGATCGACAGAAAGAGTCCTATATTTTGAAGTTCTTCCTCAACAACGAGATCGTGACGGTTGAAATTGTTTGATAACAATCTTAGTCACGTGTTCTCACGTAATACAGCCTAGGCGCAGCTCTATATTTTTTATATTAATCATTGCCTCGCTTTTCTTAACTTACCATTAAAGGTTCTTAGTCGATATCCTTTTGCTGACGATAACTGGCCATATTTTCGATTAATACGATCTTTTATCTGATTATAGTATGATTATTTGTTTGACGTGATTTTAGACAAAGTTGAACTTGGGCGATTTATCAGGAATATTTGGGCAGAGCTTGAAAATACGAGCCTAATTATGATTTACTACACTTAGAATTTTTTGTCCGTTCTCATTATTTATTTTTCGAATTGCCCGTAGGATAGTTTTAATCGGCCCCAATTTAGTCCATGTATAAAAAGAACCTCGTGTTTCAATTCTAAAAAGTCCGCACCAGAAACTTCCCGGTCCTTAAGGAAGTAGAGAATGTCCATATTTAATCTCGACATCCAATATTTTTATTTCTTCACTAGATGGTATTAGTGCAGATACATTGTCGCCATTATATCCTATATGCAATCCCATTTTATTCTTGAAGTCTTCTTTTTTTAGGGTGTCGATACTGTGTCGATGGTTTGCAAAATACGCATTGCTGGGCCGAGTTTTAATTCATATGTCTTAAGTCAACTGAGAGTTAAATTAAGAAAAATGTCACCGGGTATCTTTTGTTCTTTAATGAAGTTAAGTGCGTCTTTATTTAAACCTAAATTAGCATCATTTAGCCGCAAAATAAGGGATTAGACATCCATCTTTTTTATTTCTTTAATAGACGGGAGTCGTGAAGACATTCTGTTGCCACTGTATTGCCCATTACTCGTATATTCAAATTCCACAATGACAACGCCAATCAATAAGAAATTTTGGATATTATGGACCAATCACTTATGTCTAATAAATTGTAATCAGCTGAAAGGATTTTCACGAAGTCCCAAAATAGATAAAAACTTTACAAAAAAAAATATAGTGAATTCTGGTAGTACCGTAGTATAAATAATTATGTTGTTGATTACATAATACTACACATATGGTCTTGGCACTTACCGAAATATCCTTGTTAGGGTTTTAGAATCTCATATGGTAAAACGGTATATCGGGATCTAAAATATTTGATGTAAAAGAAAAATTCGATTGGTTACAGATTTATATTATTATCTGTCATAATAAAGTCGTTGCAATTTTGACATCACTTACATAATAAACTTGGGTTTGTGTCGATCTTCACCATACAAAGAAAGTGACATTTAAGTGTCACCGAGCACGTGACCATGAGGAACGCGCTTCTTCAGGTCCATGAAACATGAAACAGATTTTACGAAACATAAAAATCATTTTTTACTCTCATCTGTCCATGACTTGGCAAGATTAATTCAGTTAAAGTTTCTTTAAATTGTTATAAGGTCTGTCAGATCCGGGGGAGGGTTTGACTATGATTCTTCCTCATAGCAATATGAATATATAACATTCTGTGGGATAAGTGCTTACTACGAGTGCTCTTTACGTACTCACTACGAGCGCTAATATTTATAGTTTTTTATATTCATCTGAATTTTTATTGGTGTTTATTACATTCTGTGGGGATAGGTGCTTACTACGAGTGCACTTAAGTATGAGTTCTAAGTACTCATGCACGAGTTTTCACCACTATGAGTTCTCTTGCACACAAGTTCTCACTACTACTACAACTACTACGAGTTCTTTTGTGCAAGAGTTTTCATTACTACGAGTTCTTAAGCATGTGTACTTACTACAAATTCTCTTACACGAGTAATACTGCTAATCTTTATATAGTTTTTATATATATCAGTTTGCTTGAAGATGATCTTCTAATCATTTTTTATTTTATATCAAATACATCAAATACACAAATGAAATTATTAAAGAAATATTTTGAATTTTCCAACAGCAATTAGTTATGAAATCACAAGACCCAAATGTATTTACGTATGCATAAGAAAAAGCAGAAAAACTCGCAAAAAGTTTAAATATAGACGAAGAAATTGAGAATTTCTTGAATGATAAGGGACTAATGGTTAGTTGTAGAAGCTTGCTTTTAATACTTACTAAAATTTAATAAAACTAACTATACTAACAACTGTCAATAGAAACAAGAAGTTCAACAGGAGCCAGATCAAGACCAACAGGTTCGATCTGTAGTACCATATGCTTTATACGAGAGTGATACACAGTTTGTATTATCTATTTTTTTTTTTTTGTGAATGATCTCATTTGATTTTATGTTACATATATTTTTTTATTTTATAGTTATACAATTGTTGCATATATTCCTGGTCTCACATCAAAAAAGCAACTATCAGTTGGAATGGATGATGAAAAGCTACTCATGATTGAAGTCAAAGGAAGCCTTTATAACAGTGATAATAACAAATTCAGATAACTTTTAAGATCATCATGGCTGTTAGGATATTCTATAAAAATTCCCTTACCAGCCAAGTAAATTATAATAAAAGTTGTAAATATTTTGTTACATGCTTTTTCCTATTAGTTAATATGTTAATTTGTTTTATTTTTTGAGCAGAGTTAATCCATTCAATGAAGTAGTGAAACGATCATATAGAAAACATGTAGCGTTAGCGTACGGTGCGACATGTAACAGTTGACGTGTACTAATGTGTCAAATAACTAAACAACAACGCCCTAATCACGTGATAAATATATGTTATATGACACACCCCATTACTTTAATGCATAGTCACGTGAAAGCGTCACACCCGTGTATAACGTATACGCGACACCATACAGACGTACGCTCACCGTACGCTACGCGTACCCTAGTGAAACATGGAATAATCGAATTATGTATTAAAAAGTCATGAATGTTAAAAATAGTTTAATGTCTTTATTATTTCATTTGCTAATTATTGCTAATTAGGAAGAAAAAAATTAATAATTAATTGTACTAATATCTTTTGCATTATTGTGCTAATTTTATTGTAAAAAAAAACTTTATTGTAATATACTTAAATAAAATAATACAATTATAATCTTCGTACCAGAGTGCCTGATATCATTATTATTTGATTAAGATAAAGAGGTACAAATGCAAGATTCTTTAACTTGCAAGAAAACAACTGCCGGATTATGAACAGAAACAAACAAGAGATAGATACTATTGTTAAGAAACAAACATAAAGCTTATCGAAATTTTATTGCAAAGGAATGACAAATGATGAAAAAGAAATTAGTTTTAATGAATTCACATAGACGAGTAACAATCTATCTGTATGTTACGTTACTTTTCATTTTCTGCGTCTACAACGATCTAATAATTATTACTGTAGTTTAAGGATCCTTTTTTTACACTAGTTGACATTATGAGATAAAATAACCGTCAGATATCTGGAAGGCATCTCACTTTGGGATGTAGAAGTTACATGAAATCGATAATTTGTATTTACATACAGTTATTAAAATAAAATGCGACAAATCGCAAATAAATACCCAGAAAACGATAATTTATTTAGCAGTTTCACTAACGAAGTATATATTTGTCTATTCGTGTCGTCTTTTCCAAAAAACTTTCATTATTCCATCTTTGTTCCTGTTACAAAACCTTTTCTAGCTTTTATATTTACGAAGCGTGTGATCGATGTATTGCTGATAAATTTCTAATGGTTGAACAGTTACTTTGTTTTTTTCTCTCTTGCCGTTGAAGTACTGAAAAAATATTGCTTCCGCACCAAGTTTCGCACTATACAGAGCGGTGAGATGGGAGACAAGTAAAGATCTAGCGATTGCCATTACTTGGGCTTCCTTTACTTTCCTTTTAATTGTACATCTTTTAAATTTATTTATTGGATTATTGACTAATTCATTGAAATAAAAGATAAGGGAAAATATATTCTTGCTCAAAAGGTCAGGGTGTTATTCAGCTAATAAAATCGCAAATTTTAATTTTTTAAATTTTAATAACGGATAATTTTATTTTATTATTTAGATAATAGTTGAAATTGAATTATATTGATTACTTCCAAATCAAAGAAAATGGAAGGATTGGTTTCCAGATTATATGTATGTTTTTGTAAAAATTTTATAAGTAAAAGAAATTTGAAAATTTTAATATTTCTTATAACGTATCTAATAATTTTTATATTTTTATAATACTATAGATAAACTTCGAGAAAAAAATACAAAATATTGATGAGGATAATTCATATCAAGGTTATAAACATATTATCCTGAGCTTATTGAAAAATCCCAATAAAAAGGAATTGAAGAAAGACAAAATTGATCATCAAAAATTTTTGCTTGTTTGCTTTCTTTCACGTACGAACCCTCATAATTATCTAATTTTAATTTTTGTAAAGCGATCAATTATTCCATTTAAAGAAGTTGTGAATGAACCTTCTTTTTGTAAAAAAAAAAATATATTACGTTAATTGATTATCACCTCATTATATATCCAACCAATAAAATGAAGAATAGGTGAAACACGCCATATTCTGAAGATCAATCATTTAAACAATAAATATTTTAAATTCGTTGCCTTTTTCTCCTTAAAATGTTGAATAATTTGAATAATTGCAATGATTTATTACCTTTATAATTTAATGTATTATTATTTTTTTTAATTTTGTTTTTATTTTAGACGAACATAAAGTTTTTTAAAAATAATTAATTGTTTTATTTGTTTATTTGTGGAGGATGATGATATCATTTACGAATATAGCAAATATAGTATTTCATTTGACTGTCAATAAATCTTATAAAAGACTTATTGTAATTAAGCATTATTGTATTATTAATTTGGTAAATTCCATTAATCCATTTCCAATCTCTAAATGAAAGTATTAAAAAGGGGTAGTATACTAATATAGTTATATAGTTATGACAAATTAGATTTGTTGAAAGGCCAATCATCTTGTGACACGTGAATTGATCAACTTTTAGAAATATAGATTATTGATTATCAATCTGCATGACTCATTCTTATTATATTTTTTCTTGTTTTATTTCTCGATATATTTTTATTCTCACCAAATCTTCACATGTTAGTTTAATAATGAATATAGAATAACTGGATTTTGTTAGTACAGATTCGGTTTTCCTTTCAAGCTGAATAACTGATATTATGACTAAATATGACATATAATAATTTATTTAAATTCATTTTAAATCAATGATTATCAGGAAAAATTTTTTATTTAAAGAATTAAAGATTCGTGAAAGGATTAACGAAAAAACATTGATTTCTTTACAGAATAGTTATTATTATAAAAGTCTTAAATAAATGAATGTCTTAAAATAAATGAATGAAAATATATCGAATTATTAAAAAATTACGTCTTTTGAGGCTGAAAATAATTAATCCCTGAAAGCAAAAAATAACGTAAATCTTGTTAAAAATACTATTAAAGCTTGTATTTTAAATAAGACGATTGTTAATAAATCATTATTTCATATGATCCTGCCTTATCCGCAATATCCCGACTCTTCATTCATAAAAAAAAAATAACCTGATTTTATTGTTAATATGTACGCCACAAACTCGAACGATTCTTGAATAAAAATATAAAAGTCGTCAAATTTGAGGTTTAATACAAAAAAAAAAAAAAGAAGTCAAATTTTTGAGGTTTAATAAAATTTGAGGTTTAAATACAATAAAATACTCTTATCACGTTACTCTCTTTACTAAGATGGAAGAAGAATGGTTTTTTCAACAACAAGGTAATAAGGTTACTCCAAAAGAGCTAAAAGATTGTCCTGATTGTGGTAAACCTAGAATATCTTTTGGTTGGTGCTTGGAATGTGAAAGCAATGCAATGAAGGAAAATTTTCTTTATTGGACGTCAGGTAATAAAGAGATCGATGAGTTAATACGTTACACTCAGCTTACTGCTACCCAAACTTGTGATTATTTGGAATGGATCTCGTTTGAAAAATTTGAAATGGTTAAATATATTGGTAGGGGTGGATTTAGTAGTGTTTATTCAGCCCTTTGGATGGAAGGACCTAGATGGATTTGGGATGATGGTGCACAAGAATGGACTCGAGCCGGGCCAATGAATGTTGCTTTAAAACGTCTTGATAATTCACAAAATATATCAAGTTCTTACATTGACCAGGTACTTATGATTATATTATATATATATATATATATTTTTTTTTAAAAAAAAAATATTTTTGAGCAATACATTCTTAATTTTATAAACTACATTTTCATTCATGTTCATATTTAATAGATTAAAGCTTATCATAAATGCTTACAATCGGCTTCGTTAGCTGGAACTTTTGGCATCACAAAGGATCCAACATCTAATTATATGATTGTAATGAAATATTATGAAAATGGTAATTTGTATCAATATCTTGATCATTGTAACGGAATTCTTTCCTGGAGAGATATGATCGATATGTTATGGGGAATTGCCGGAGGACTCGAAAGAATTCATGCCGAAGGAAAAATCCACGGAAATCTTCATGGGGGAAATTTACTTATTGAGGACGAAAAAATATCTACTGATGCTCGTATTGGTGATGTAGGTCTTCATGGTCCATGTAATAATGAAAATAAAAGTTCGAATCAAATATATGGAGTCTTGCCATATGTTGCACCAGAAGTATTACGTGGCGAAAATTATAGTCCCGCTTCTGATATATATTCATTTGGTATCATTATGAATACTCTCGCAACTGGTAAAAGACCTTGGCATAATAGAGCACATGATATTAATTTAGCATATGATATTTGTAATGGTGAAAGACTTGAAATTCCTGAAGATACTCCAAATTTTTATTCAGAATTAATGCAACAATGTTGGGATAATGATCCGGTAAAACGTCCGACTGCATCCTATTTAAATGAAAAATTAGGTGAATGGATTATTTTAATATGTGATGATCCAACCCCTTCAAAAGTTTCAGATGAAAATTCTATTGCTGAGGAAAAAAGATGGAAAATGATTTCCCAATTATCCAAAAAAATTACTCATCCAGAATTACATCCTGAAGCATATTATACGAGTAGACCTTTATGTTTTCGTGAATTACCAGTAACGTGAAGGACTTACAACTGTTTCGTTTCCTAATTATAACGGTATGATATCACTTTTTTATATGATGTTGAACTGTTGAAAATTTTAACCTTTTTTACTAATACATTTGTCTTTACTAAAAATAGATTCTAATGTAAGATGCCGTTATAAAAAATTCTTTCATTGTAATTTATTTTTCTTCTTAGTGAATTAGTTATCAAAGGTATCAAAGGAAAATCTTAATATAAGTGACAAATTTTTTTTTTAATTTCATTGTAATTGATAGCTTATCTCTTAAACGTAAACGTAAATCACGTGAATTGCAGGCCGCACTACGTCCATTCGAGCGTGGAACCGCGGCCAAATCGAACTCAATTTATAATTCCGGCCCGAATTGAGATATTAGGTCCCGTAAAGTAAGGCCGTTACGAGTGCGTACTGTATGACAAAAATTCGGAATTTAGATTTATTTTTATCGTGACCAATAATTTACTAGCGAATTTACTAGGTTTCATGAAATTCATTCGGAGTTTATTTAATGATATGGATTAACCCTAAAACCCTTGAGCAATTTATTTATTTCTTTCTAATTAAATTTTCGCGGTAAAATTTTTAATAACGGACCATTCGGAAGAAACAGCATAACTTAAAATAGAAATCATAAAAGTATCATTTTTTTTCTCTCGTTATTTTTTAGAAAACTAAAAAATGATAGTATATGTCTAAATTCAAGCACGTAGTGCTTAATTTTGTAATATCATATTTTGATATATTAGCGTCGTTTATTAAGTGTATTAAAGGAAGATGCGTCGGAAAACATGATGAAATTGTGTTATTGAACGTAGATTTGTTCGGCGGAATGTATTCCTACTGACCGCAGCAGTAATTTTTAATTGACCACAGTATATGCATAAAATGTGTGAATGTAAAATACTATTAAATGAAAATTTAATAACAAACGGTATCAATTAATAGGCTCTTATGATTTGAGGTCACATTTCGAATTTTTTTTTATTTTTTTCATATGAAATGATAAATCATTGTAATAAATTTAATAAATTGATTTTTTTACAACTGACTACCTATCCTGTATCACGCAGCATGTTTTGTTGATTTATATGAATCGTTTAGTCATCATTATCTCGCAGTTAACACTATTTTTTATTACAAAAAAAAAAATTCATAGGATTAAGGTGTCGGGCATTTATTACTTTTAATGTGAAGAAAGTTTTTTATCAAATATGAAACGGCTGTATAAAAATTATTAATTAAATTATAATTAAAGGATATCATAGCTGTACGTATTTCTTTAGGACCTACTACCAATCAGTTTCTAAAATGATAAATTGCAGTATGTAAAAAGGAAAATTAACTATACAAAATTATGAACCGTTTCAATAAAGTTCGTAATTTTATTTGAATATATTTTGGTTTTTCTTTACATGCATAACATTTAAAATTTTACTAATTAGAGAAACTTAAAGATATATTTTAAAATATAATTTGGCGTTGAAGAGAGTAATTATCATATTTGCTTAAGTTAAAAAATTTACAGAGAATTTCTAGGTATTGTTCGGTACTTAAATAAACGAAACAAAATAAAAAAAAAACTTTAAGTAAAAAGGAAATAGTGAAATATAGTAAATAGTGTTGTTTGAAACTTATGCAATACATATGCCTAGACGAAATTTCAATTAACTTAAAATTCAAACTCTACATAAAATTATCGTAAACAGATAAATGTTAAACCGATTAAAATGCAACCGTATTATTGTAAAATGCATAAGAAGTACAATACTTACTAAATCTTCAATATAGTGTATTTATTTAATTAAAAAGGGGATCCATTAAACAATTGATTTGCGAATGGATCATTTGTAGTTTGTAAAGGTAATTGTACAATTAGACGTAATATATCTGTATTATTGATTACCGCGCGTCTTCCATACATCCTAGTAATAATTCTAGGTCTCTGACGTTGAATTCGTCGTTGATTTCTTCTATTTGCGTTTCTTCGATAATATCTACGATTAAAATTATTGGAAAAATCAAGCAAATTTCTACTTAACGTCATTTTTTATATAAAAGAAGTTGGGAAGTGAAAGTTCAAAAAGTGAACAAAAATCAGTTTGTTCAAGTTTTAATGGTATTTATATAATAAATCTTCGTGAAACATGTCCGATTAGATAAAAATAAAAAAAATATTATAATAAAAAAATATATATGCAATATATAAATAGTTAATTGAAGAAAAGCAAAAGTTACAAGGTCACATTTAATATTATATAGATATAATTAGATTATTGGCGTAAGTTAAAGTTTCATAAAAATTAAAAAAGAACGCGCCAAATTTTTTACTACCTTACAAATCCGCTAGTGCATATATGGTTAGTATTGCAGATCGCCAGTTGCCCTATAAAAAATGACCACTATTTATTCTAGAAAATATGATCGGTTTTCTAAAAAATTTTTATTGTTTCTCTTTTTCTTTTATAATCATAGTTATTGTTCAGTCAATTAGATAAATTTTATTCATTGTATGAAGATCCTTTAAAAAAAATTTCTGCATATTATCTCATGGATTAATTTAATCTTGTGAGGGCATTTTTATGAATATGCGGGATTTTAATGACCGATATTTTTTTTATTAGACTCCTAAAAATTATTTTAAAATAAGTTTAATTTTAAGAAATAATTATAAACGAATAAATACTTAACAATTACAAAAAGATAAATAAATAAGCCGTGCACCATCATCATGACGGCGGTCTGCATTCTCCTTCTATAAAACTCTATCAGGAATTTTACTAAGTGTAGGTATTTGATTATATCTTGCAGTTCAGTTTCTAATCTAAGTAATCGAGCACCAGAAAATAATGCATTTCGCCCATTTTTCTTCCCATGCTTTGCATCTTGAAAATGAACTACTGGGCTAATTTAACATTTAAATTTAATACCATTAAAGCTTATCCTCAAAAACAACTTTTTCCATACTAGTTAAAGTATTAACTAAAATTGGCTGTACATTAAATTCATTTACTGCACCATCTGATCCGAAAGATATGATGTTTATTTCTAGTTGTGCTGCATATCCCAAAACTTTTTGATGATACTAAAGAATGTCAGCTGCCTTTTCTTTATAATTATTTGGAATTAAACCCACAACTATTGGCGGAACTTTGGGCAAAGAAATCTAAAATATTTTATTACTTAACATTCCAAATTATAATCAATTCATTGCGGCGGATTTATGAAATTTGGCAAAAAACCCTGCTGCGCCCTCGGGAATTAAAATTGACTTACAGAAACATTAACAGTTAAGCTTTTTTCCTAAAAAATGTCAAATAATGACGCGCCTTTAACACTGGAAAAATTGGTTAGATAATGGGGAAAATTGGTTAGACTCAAGATTTGGGGTACAAAAAAATTTTTTAGAGCTCATTTTTGACTGTTCACTAATAAATTTGGGACTTAAATAGAAATTTGGTGACTAAAATACTGTCAAATATTTATTTAATTTGATATGACGGACAAATTTTGGGGTATTTCATAAATTCGCCATGATGTAAAATATCGAAAATGAAAATATCTGAAGCACGCCAGGGCCGCGATATGCGTATATAGACGGTTCCTAGGAAAATGAATTTTTTTGTTTAGATCTCTTAAAATCATTTAATATCAGTGGTTTGGAAAAACCAGTGTTAATTTAACAAGATATAACTTCGCAACTTCTGTAGTTCTTAATGATTATAGGGTAGATGTATATGTCATGTAAAACTACACAACTTGATGTTCCATTCATTTTGCTTATAACACTTTAAAAGAAGAATGGTTTACGGTAAAATGATTATATTGATTTTATTGAATTTGTACTTGAGATTCCTATATATGATACATTAAAAGATAATTGGTCAAATGCAATGATGGTAATGAATTAAATATATATGAAGATACTATTTTTATATTTAAATCAATTAACTAGTCTTATGTAAGAATTTAATAGTTATAAATTGAAAAGCATTTATTACTAATTCTAAATTATAACTAATTTAATACCATTATTGTATACAATGAAGTTTCCTCAAAACCGGAATTAATTATATTGGATATTTCAAATCCAATCTATAATTATATACAACCAATTACTAGTAATAACCAAGATGGGGTACTTCAAGCAATTTCGCCAAAGAATGTTTCACCAAAGTGTCATTTCGCTGAAATACCATTTCCCCCGAATGGAAATTCCCCTGAATGGCCATTTTACTGAAGAACATTTCGCTGAAGCCATTTCGGCGAAGGGACATTTCACCGAAGATATAGAATATTTTAATTTTCCTTTTCTAAGATAAACAGATTATTTACACATTTTAAGTCGCGTTTGTTAATTTATTTTTAATTAAAGAAAAAATTAATTTATTCGGTCTTACAGAGTTACAGTAAGTTCAAAAAAAAGATAAGTACTCATCAGTTTCAGAAATAATTTTTATTTTCTTTGTATCGAATTGTTAATGATTAAGGAAATATGTTAATCACCGACTAACATTTTCGGCGAGGTGTCCTTCGGCGAAATGGACGATTCAAGGAAAAGGATTCGGCGAAATATCTAGTCGATGAAACGTCTATTCGATGAAATATTCAATTTTATCGATTCTATTCATTCCGGCTAAAACTTCGTTTGATTTAGTTTCAGGTTTCGCCATAATCACCACCAGCACTAACATCACCAATATCACCATCACCACTATCTATAGTCTAATAGCGGCACGTTAGACTATTATTTGGTTTAAATCATCCAATAATAATATTATTGGTTTGACGGGACCGTTTCATGCAATTTTTATAATAAACTCCCGTTACTATCCAATAATTTTATTATGATAATCCGACCTAAATAACAATTGAATTTACAGTGAATAGAATTATAGTTAAGATTGGTCTTTTTTTTATCTTATTCTAATATAAAATTTATCGATTCATTATTAACTGAAAAATGAAAATAAAATGGTGATTCCGGGATAATTGCCTGTTACAAATTTATAGAATGAAACTTTTGTGTCATTAAAAAATGTGAAGATGATTGATTTTGATTTGGAGTAGGAACAATCAAATCATGAAAACTAGATTCATTGTTATTTAACAAGTATGTATATTATTTTCGTGAAAATATTGCATTTGTTTTCTATTTTTGTAGTGTAATGTCAGGACTTTAGCTAAATAGGTATTAGCCGAATATACGTTGTACCGAATCTTTCCAATTTGCACAATAAACTTTTCCGAATGCTCCGGAACCGATTACTTTAATATTATTAAAATGCTTGTATTCATAACTTTTAAAATATCCTTTAACAATAGCTTCTTCAATCCAAGTAACCCACTCATCTGTATTTTCAGTATCCTGCATTTCGATATTATTAAACATTGTGGCGAAAACAAAGATTATTTGTCGTACGGAAAAAAATGAAATCCCATTTATATGAATTCTGGTAACACATGAATTTTGTACTTTGCCGATCTATGCAACATGATGTTCACTAAGTTCTACATACAAACAATTGTAACAATCTAGCTAAAAATAAAATCTAACTCCAACACATTTTTTGATCATCTATCTATTATTACACCACTAAAAGATTTGTTGATCAATTTAAATATAAAAAAGGAAAAGTCCGAATGTAAAAGCAACTTTTTTGGAATTTTTAAATGTCGTATTTTAATGAAATAGAGCCGGTTTTTGAACAATAAAATAAAAAAAAATAAAAAAAATAAAGTTTACATTACAACGTGATTTTTACAATTAAATTTATATGTACTTAAGAAATCTGGCTCTATTAGTTTGTGTACGTTTGATTTTAATATCATAAACAGTTGCTAAAAATGGAGAGTTAAACATGCATATAAAGTTATGGGCAATTTAGTTTTACTAGTAATTTATTATATATTAATAAAAATCTATAGTAATGGTCACTATAGTAATGCATTATATTTGTAAATTAACTGATATAATGATTTTAAATAGAAAAATTTAAATCTAAAACTCTTTTTTAAATGATTTAAATCCAAGATTCTAAAATATTAATAAATTAACAAAAAAATCCTTAATAAGGATGTTTACTATAATAGTTGCAACTATATTTGTGATTAGACTGATATCGAACACCCTAATGTATAATGACTAAATATTCTTAATAAAATATAGTGTGTGTGTCAAGTAAAAAGTAAAATAAAATATCTTTATACACTAAAAATTCAATTTAATAAAGCACCAAAAATTACAAAAATTACTTTGAATTGAGATAAATGTTACGCCAAAATAATTGATTTCTGTCCAATCAAAATTCAGTTAAACCTGGTGGACGATAAGGATGCTCGAATTTTATATGGGACCGACGTTTGGTGTGATTGTAATCATAACTAATAAGTGATTATAAAAGGGGTATTTTACTATATAAAAAAATCCGGACTAAAAAATGTGTGCCTTAAGGAGGGAGTTCTTATATAGGAGGTGCCTATAAAGGGGGGTCGACTGTACTAAAAAAATTCTAACATAAACAGCTGGACTAAATTTACAAGCAATTTTCCTAAACATTCTTTTTTGCAATTAATACTGACATGACGATTTAAAATGTTGAACAGATACCATTATAACAATGGCCAAAACTATGACAATCGACATCACTAGTGCAATTACAAAACCAGTGTGGATAAAATGTTTTCAAACATTTACTATTTCTTTCAGTATTGCAATTATCGTCACTATGACACCCAAAAATACATGTTCTATATTTTGCCCATTGCCTAGGATTATTTGAACAAACATATCCCGGATATTTCGAACAATCGGAATCAAGTTGACAGGAGGCACTATAAAATGGGTCTTTGCACTTGCATTGAGATGCCACGTAATCGAAATTAAGCGTAAGGAGAACAATAAAAATAATAATCAAAAAGAAATGATTCATTTTGTCAAAAAAATGTCAACAAATTCACTTATTAAGAACAACTTGGTGTTTATTTATAATGATTGAGAGTAGTAGTATAAGCTGGTCGTATGATTAGATAGATCCTAACATACGATCCATCGATTAATATTACTTTCCTAACGCGTAATAGTTTATTTCTGAATCTGAAAGCATTTTCCCATGGGTATTATAAATGGCTTATGAAATAACAAAAACTATGAATAGTGACGTTCTGAATCGGCTAAATTAGAAAGTTATAAGTTTTTCCGTGTGAAATTTGAGAAATGGTTTTTTTCATGTGAAATTCACCTAGCACCCAAGTTTTGTGGGCGGGATTTTTTGTGTCACGGAGTGACAAATAGAGATCAGGCAACTCAAAAAAACTTAACTGTTAAGTCACTGAGATAAATATAAACAGCGTGTTCCGCACGGTCACGTGTTAGTGACACTTAAATGTCATATGTTCCTTATATGGTAATCGACACAAATCCCGCAGTAATCCCGCCCACGAAACTGGAGCTATCATTATGACGAAATATCACGTGATTTCTTAAAGGAATAGACCAGAGCCTTAAAATTTTTATAATTGTTCCGCCACAATGCATGTAGGCATCATAGGCATGTGCGACAGAAATAAACTGTATAGGTGATACATCTGTAACTCTGTGTGACCGTTTGTGGGTAAATCTTACCACACCGGTGGCTTCTTTTGTACAACCTTTTGTGTACTGTACCGTCTGTACGACATTACCAAAAATTTAATATATAAATGAGAAAAAAAAATAAAATTCGTCTTTTATTATTACTTTACGATTACTAATAATAACAAAATTAACAAAATGCAAACCACCAAAAATACAAATGAATGTATTAATTGGATTGAAGAATCTATACTGTATCTAGGAATATTATGGATTTTATGAACAAGAATATTCAAAGAATTGGTACTGGAGGATTCGGTAAAGTTTATCGTGCAAATTGGAAAAATTCAGACCAATATTTAGCGTTAAAATCCTTTTTCAATCTTGATGACGTCACTGCAAAGAAATATCATAATATAGTTCAAACTTCAACGTGATATACAATTTCATAATATTATTATTAAATTCTATGGAGTCGCACAATTTGACCCAGGTATGATAAAATTCACTTATTTTATTATTTGGTCTTTTAAGAGTGTAATTTATTAAAAAATGGATATTTCTTTTATTAATCATTAGAAAATCAAAATGTTCAATCAAAAAAATTATTTTTTAGTGATGGAGTATGCTGATTCTGGTACTCTCAAAAAGGAAAACTTCGATAACCTTACCTGGAACGACAAATATAACTTGGCGTACCAACTAACTAGCGCTGTGTCGTGTTTACATAATGAAAGAATAGTGCATCGTGATTTGGTAATTCATTTTATTAAATAATAAAATAATAATTATAATTTTTTTTTCAATTTTTAACGTCATATTAATTTAATAGCACTCCGGTAATGTATTGATTCATCAAAATACTATCAAATTGTCCGACTTCGGGTTGTCAAAAAGAATCGAATCATCATCCAATACAAAAACAAAATTTTTTGGAAAAATTCCTTACGTTGATCCAAAAAGATTTAGTGGACGAAAAAAAAATAAAAACTCAAATCAAACATGTTCATTTAATGAAAAAAGTGACATTTATAGTGTTGGTGTGTTATTTTGGGAGATATCTAGTGGTCAACCACCCTTTTCTGCTGAAGAGTATGATATTGATTTAGCTTTAGAAATTTCACAAGGTCGTAGAGAAGAACCCATTCCTAATACGCCTGAAAATTATATTAACATTTATACTGGTACGTATGAACTCTTATTAATTATAATTTATAATCTATTAACATTATTATGTTTTTAGAATGTTGGGATGCTGAACCAGACAATCGCCCAACTATAAATCAAGTATAACACCATCATCAGATGGACAAAATTTTAATTCAATCAATATTGATACTTCAAATATTAACAATTCATTACATGAAGAAATGTCTCAAATTATTAAAAATTTTGATAAAATGAATACAAAAGAAATGGTATATACAACAAATGAAGCAAGATATTTCATCTGAAAAAAATTTAAGTAAAATAGTTAACGATATAATAAATTATCTTTTCAAATTAGGTAATGAAGGAAAAAATTCAGCATTAAAAAAACATATTCCTGGTTATTGTAATGATAATAATATAAATTCAAAAGAAATTTATGATTGGTTATTAAGTAATCAAAATAATTCAGATTCCATATTTTTACTTGGATATTTTAATTATTTAGGAATTGAAACAAGTGCAGATAATAAGAAAGCGGTTAACTTATTCATTAAAGTACCAGAACAAAATCACAATATTATATTGGAATATGTTATAAATCTGGTCGTGGAACTGTAAAAGATGAAAAATTAGCTTTCGAATATTTTGAAAAAATAGCAAATAAGGGTTACGCAATGGGATTATTTGGTTGTGGTTATCTTTATTATCATGGAATTGGAACTAGCGTTAATTATAAAAAGCAATTGAATTATATCAACAGGCAGCAAATTTAGGACATCTAATAGCTCAAACTAAACTTGGCATTATGTATGAAGATAAAGATTATAAAGCTTTTGAATTATATTACAAGGCAGCAAATTCAGGATATAGTTTGGCTCAATATAAACATGCTAAAATGTATGAATTTGGAAATGGAATTGAAAAGGATGGTACGAATCAGGTGATCAAAATGAATTAGAAAAATTAAGAAAAAAATAATTAAGCTTATTTACAGTACATTGCATATTCTTTTTTTGTTATTTAAACTAAAATATTGTTCGTTTGGATTTTATGACGAGTTTAAATATAAAATCCTAATAGTATTTTTTTCTTCTAATAAAAACTATACTTTCTCTTTAATTCAATTCCTTGATTATTATAATGCACAAAATTAACTATACAATAAAAGGTGGCAAGAACTTAATTTATTAAACTTTCTTTATACCTCATGTGATAAATAGCGTTGTATTGAATATCTTAAAAATATATATAGTTCATGAATACTTACAAAATGGCACAGTTTCATAAAATTTAATTTTACGAAATTTTCTTATCTGGATCGCGGCTAACTAATGATTTTATTTTTTGAAACAAATGTTTGGTTAGTTATATATATCTTAACAAGTTTATAATTTCCAGTTTCAAAATAGATGTCAAAAATCATCTTTTCGTTAATCTCTTAATTTTAATTTGAGTATATTTCAAAATTTAGTTGATTATCGGTTATTGTAATAATGTTTCAAAGTAATATTTAGCTAAGTAATAAAATTACTTTTGTAAGTTCGTTAGAAAAATAATATTATTTAGTTATTTTATTTATTTTATTTTATTTTATTTTGTAGGTACTGTAATATTATTTAGTTAAAACTTGTTTATTAAAAAATTCTGTTTAAATTTTCCATTGCCTTATACTTAATTTCATCGTCCGTTTCTTATTCATTTTTCTCGGTGTATCTGATCTTAGAATAGTATGATTTTGTAAAATAGTATGTAGTTTGCGTTTTTTGTTAGTACGTATGATTTTAAATCGTACTACTTTGATTGCTAAATATAGAAAAATTGTACGTATGTAGTGAAAAAAAAAATCATACATACATACTTTTATACCAGCCTCGCCATACACTTTTTCAATCCCTTGAAGTCCTATGCAATGGCGCTCGCTCCTTCTTTAAAATATGAAAACAAAAATTTAAATAAATATTTTTATTTGTTATACTAGCATGTCATTATTTATGTGCATTTATCTTTAAATAAATAAATTATAAACACAATCATATTTAAAAGCTTTTTCATGTTCTTTATTATTAAATTTTAAATTTTTTAAATTTTTTAATTTTCTCGCAGAACTTAAGTGAAAAAAATTGAAGCTGCAAAATACTAAATTACCTATAAAAAAATTATATAGGATTTCTTCCCTATAAAAAATTTTTATCCGAATATTTCCATTATTTCTCCGTGTCTTCCGTAAAAATTCCGTGAAAATGATAATCAAGACATCCGATATATCGAAAAAATCTTGCTAAACCGGATTTATATAAAATATACGAAAAATCCGAAATATCAAGATATCACGTGATTTTCAAATAATTTTATTATTATAAAAGAACTATCTGCTATACACAGGCGAAAGATATTCGATATATCAAAAAATCTTCTATGCAGGATTTTATATGAAAATTATGTTAGGATCCGATATATCAAGATATACAGAAAAATAAAGCTATTTCCAAACTTTGATTAAAATATTAAAAAAAAGAATGGTAAAATTGTATGCAATATTTGTAAAGAATTTCGGTATAAAATGATTAATTTTAATTCTGGTCAAAATTAACCATTTCAGCTGGAATTAAGCATTTTTTTAAAATTACAATAATATAAAGGTAGGCTAAAAGGGATACATTAACGCCAAATTTGGAAAAATTCGATATATCAAGATTTTTTTGATATAACTGATATAGAATCAAATCCGACTTATGAAATATCGCGACTTTACTAATAAAATGCGGTTGATTTAATATGACAGATTTGGTTCCGAGAGAAAAATCCGAAATAATACCGATTTATCGCAGTATGATTTTGTAAGTTAGTATGTTTGTGGAATTTTTACTTTGTATGTGTACATATATACTTATCATAATATCATATATAATAATATGTATATATGATAATATGATTTAACTTTTTTTATTACGCACAAATAACACATAATTATGATAATTCGACGTTTGATCAACGGTTACAGAAGACAATTACACAATATATTAAATACGAAAAATATAATTATGTAATTATTCTTTATCAATTCGAGATTTATTTTTTTTTTTTAATATTTTATTACATAAATATAAATAAATTTCACATTAATTATAATAATTATACCAATTAAAATATTAAATAATTATGGAAATAGTTCTCTAGATGTAAAAGAAATTATCGAAGCTCTAGAATTGGCTAATTTAGTAAAGAAAAAGGATTAGGATTATAATGTAGGCAAGCCCTGTAAAAAATCTGATCCGTGTTTTATCTTTCCATATTTTTTCCGTGAATGTATCATTTTAATGGAATTTATAACCTTAAATCATGGAAATTTTCATCTCGCTAACACGGATATCCGTGAATGGATATATCGGATATTTTTACCTATAAAAACGAAATGTGTTAAATTTGTTGTTCATGTGTAATAAATGTCTAAAAAAGCACCATTTTGTCCGATTTATGTCTTATTACAAAAAAACGAAAATTAAACAAAATGGTGCTTATTTAGACATTTATTACACATGAACAACAAATTTAACACATTCCGTTTTTATAGGGTTACTGGAACCAACTGATCAGATTTATCGAGATTGCCTGTGTAGTTCATTTTATGAAAATTTTCCTTTAAATATTATAAAGTATTAATAAACTTTTTTAGATTTATTATACAAATACGGAATCTAATTCTAAAGGTATTAACACTCTATAAAAATTTTTAATTTTTTTCTTTTCAAAAAAAAAAAAAATAAATAAAAACAATTTTTAAATAAATTGATTACTCATCAATCCTGGAATTGATCTTTTCTCTCCAATATTTTCCTTTGTAACTAACAACAAATAAACAAACCACACCAATAAAAGAAACGCAAATCATGATGGTATAAATCAAACCAATACCAACAGCTTCTTCAAAAGGTACAGATATAAAAGTAAATAATGCGGCTGCGGACGATCTCGTAAGGTTATTAATTGCAACTGCTGATGCACTTCTACCTGGAAAAGCATCGACCAAATATGTTGAAACTGAATTAAGCACTGCTACAAAACTAAATGCTCCTATCAAATAAGAGTTATAATTTTTTAATCGAATTAATTAAAAAAAATTAAAAGTTAGAAACATTGATTTTGTACGTACCAGTGAACATAGCGATAATTGGTAAGGCTATATGTAATCTAGCTTCAAGAAACCACCCATAACATATGTAAGAAACCGAAATAAAAAAACAACCAATCCAAACACTATGAAGTCTCATTTCAGGATATCCAACACCATTGTTTCTTTTTTTAGCTTTCATAAGAACATAATCTGACCATTTTCCTCCTATGACACTTCCAATCATATATCCAGTACCCTGAGCCAAAAAAATTAATCCAACTGTTGATGCTGAAACATGATATATATCTGTGAAACTTAGCTCAGCTAATGTATTTTGTATATAAATTATTGCATACGTAATACTTATGTATACTATTACAAGTAACATATTGGGATATTTTAATAAACGTAATGGTGATGTAGGATCAAATCTTTTACGGTGTCGTGAATTTAAAGTTGTATTATTAGGGTTCGGTAGATTTGTTGGAGGTGCAAATGTTTCAGGAAGTGCAAAGAAAATTAATATTAATATTAAACCTTCAGTAACCGCAAGAATCCATAAAATCCATCTCCATCCTAAATAATCTGTTATATATCCCCCGATTAATGGTCCTATAACTGATCCAACCAAAGGTCCAAGATAAAATATTCCATACGCTTGTCCTCGTTCTAAAAATACACTAATTAATAAATATTATTTGTATTTTATACATTTAATTCTTACAATATAATATTAACCTACCAAATGAATGAAAAATATCACCTATTGTTCCGGCACCAATGCTGCAATCATAAAAATATAGGTAAGGATAAATTTATTAATATAAATATCGTAATGAAAGAAACATACCTCAGAACTGCAGAAGCACCACAAGCTTGAACTAATCGCATCGCTAACAATAACCAGATGCTATTTGATAAACCACATATTACAGTTCCTATAATATATATTATAAAGGAAGCCAAGTAAACATTACGTCTCGTATAAAACGCATCAGAATAAGCTGCCCATCCTAGTGGCTGTGCCACAACAATACAAATTTAAAAAGTTAAAAAAAGACCTTTGTAATTTATCTATTTATACTTACTGCCAC